GCGCCCTCCGAGGCTCCGGCTCCGAGCTCCATCGCGCACGCGCACTACTCTGTCATCCCTCGCGCGAGGCGGCGGCTGTGCACCGCCATCTTGGCCGGTGGCGGTAGAAACACGTTGTGTGGCCGGGACGCGAAAGCCGGCGCCGGTTCGGCTCCTGCACGCCTCGCCTCGCTGTAAGGGGACCGCGGTCTCCAGGTCCGTGAGTGTGTGGGAGGGGTTCGGCGCCCGGCCCGCAGACCTCCGGACTCTGACAGCTGCCGCCGGCAGGGTCTCCCATGCTATCGCCGCAGGCACCCACCGTGGAGCTAACCAACCCTTGTGTGGAGGGAGACGAGCCCCTCAGCCTCCTCACTGTGGTAGCCATTGGGTTGTGGAAGCTCGTGGTTTTCCTCGTACCTTCTAACGATTATGGAGTGAGTCATGGCATCTTTCCGCCATGAAGTCCAGCGTTCCCAGCCCACTCCCAGGCTTTGCAGAGACGATGGGCAAATTCTCTACTTTTCTCACAGAGCGACGCGTACTCTCGGTTGGGACCGGAGTCGGCCCAAGTGAATTTCCGAGTTGAATGCCTGTCGGAGAGGCACTCCGTAGCGCTCTTTACTCTTCCCATTCGTGACTTAATCTGTTTTATCGTTTATTACACATCTTACGCTTCTTGACATCAGGGATGGTGCCTTTATTCAGAATTTCTGTAGATGGTCTTTTAAGGCGCAGTAAGTACATTGTAGGCATTTAGTATTGGTTACGAATGGATGATGGCCAAAGCTGAATTCCTACACCCCGTGAGCTACATTAAGTATCTTCTTCGTTTTTTGATGGTAAAATTGGTAACTAAGGAATAACTGTCAGAACAGATTGTATTGGTTTACCCTTTTCTTCCCAGAGACTATTAACTAGTGTAGTTAGCATAGAAACATCTGCTTTGTAGTCACTGGTCCAGTATGCTGAAGTAATCGTCCTGTTAATGTAGTTAATGTATTCAGTATAATGAGAAGCTGTGTGGTGTGTGTGTGTGTGTGTGTGTGTGTGTGTGTGTGTGTGTGTGTGTGTGTCTGTGTGTATGTGTTTAAGGTTTTATGTTTTTAAGTAGTTTAGCTCACCTTTACAAACAAAACAGATGGAAATTTGTTTCAGAAAATTTACTAGTTGCTGAAAGACACTCCATTAAAAACCAAAGCCATGTGCCTTTCTCAACTTACTACGCTTTATAAGGCTACTTTACAGTAAGCATAGGTCATACTATTTCATGTGAGCTTAGACTGTAGATGTTTCCCGTGTGTATGCCTCACTACATTTTTCACTCACCTGGAAGAATGACACTATAGTCTTTGCTTTAATAGTACCTGTTTTGAACAGTCTGCCTTCAAATCTGAAATAGCTTCAGATTAGTTTGTAATTCCCAAAAGTTTATTTGCTATAATCTTCCTCTTCAAGCTTTTCTGTGCCGAGTTCTTATTGAATAGAAAAATTTCTTTTCCCTAATTCTTGGAAATAATACGGAGGTTGAACAAATAGTGTTTGCCTCTGTAACTGTTATACAAAGGATCTATATTCATTTTTTTCTTAACTGTAAAATAATTTATCATTATATAAGTCAACTTTATTAACCATCTCTACTATGTTTCTGTTCCCATAAATATTATATATTATAGACATGTAATAATTTGAAAATTATGTAGTTTTAGTAGCTTAACAAATAAAGACCAACATGAGCAATTTCATAGTGAAAGAGTTGTTTAATCTCTGAAAAGGAAAAAGGTAACTTGTTTAAAAAACATTTTTTATTTGTATTGGAATATATGGTACCCAGTTTACTAGCACCTTTGCTAAAATAATAAACTTCTTAGAAAAATCACATGGTTTGGCATGGAGTTTTTAGTTAACTTTAAGGTAAAGTAAAAGCATTTAATTTCTTCTAACTTAGGAGACATGGATCAGTTTTTAAAGAAGTGATCTTGTTTGTCAGCATAACTCTGTAAGGTTTAATTTTTTCATTGATATATAGCTTAACTCAACTTTACCAAAACAAACTAGAGCATTTACCAGTTTGAAAGGAAGTGATCTGATAGTCTATAAATGATGAAAACATTTAGGTCAGACAGGAGGAAGAGAAAATAGTGTAGGGCAGCATTGAGGAGCATGGTTGCTTATGTCCCTCCAAGTCTAATCATATTAATAGCTATATTGGACAGGATCACAGAAAAGACCAGCAAAATATCCTTGCAATGGATAGCCCTGGCTTGTAGTTGTGTATTGAAGTACACTAGAGTATGAAGGCACCATTAGGATTTATTCCCCTTAGTCACATGGGGAAATTAATGTCAGTGTACCAAACCTATCAAAGATTTTTAAGTCTGCCTTGATCTAAATTCTGTGTACATGTTCTATATCATGACTTAGAAAAGTCTTGAAAGCATGGAATATATGCATGGTGAATTGCTGCTAACATAAAAACCTGACAGTAACATGATGGTCACAGGTCTATTTGTCCCTTTCCATCAGTAGTAGTCATTATAGTCAGTTGGAAAAGAAAATGAATTAATGATTGGTTTATAGGAACAAAGAAGAAACATCTTTAGATACTGTGTGTGTGTATGTTTTCATGTATAGTCCATTTGATAAGTTTATATTCATACAGTGGTATCAGTATTAATTATTGAGGCCTTGTGTAATTTGTCAAGTGTTAGCTTTCTTTTCATCTTTGCTGTTTTAATAATCTTACTCTTTTCCCATAGAGCTTTAGCTTTGGTTTATTTGACATATTTTTTTACTCAAGACATTGGATTGTATATATAAATTTTGGAAGATTTAAATTTTTGAAATCAACTATTATAAAAATTAAGAACGTATTTATTTTCCTCTGAGTGTGTATTAAGTATATTCCTAGGTGTGTGTGTGTGTGTTATTTTAAGTGGCACCTCTTTCCTAATCTAAATCCATTATGTAAAATTTTTTTGTCCACCTGAATAGATTATTTTGCTATTCCTAATCATTTTTTAAATTTTGCAAATAAACATAAGCTCCATATGATTATTTGGGTCCTCCTTTTATGCATATTAATTATTTCTCTTTCTCTTTACATGATTATATTTATAACTTTGTTCATTTTTCTTTAGTAGGAGAACCGGATATTCTTTATTACAATTATGGCAGACAAATTAACAAGAATTGCTATTGTCAACCACGACAAATGCAAACCTAAGAAGTGTCGACAGGAATGCAAAAAGAGCTGCCCTGTCGTTCGAATGGGTAAGCAGCTCTGTAGACCACCTAAGGTTAGAGAGTGGCTGTGGAGAATAAGCAAACGGGTGTGATAGCTTTGTAGAGGCTTCAGCTTTTTGTAAGCTTTTATTAGTTTGTAGCTAAATGGTCCTTTTAAAAGAACTTATAGAATGTCATTGTTAAGATATTCACTAAATATAAAGTCAAACCAAAAGTTAACTGCAGTCTTAACTATTCTACAAAATTCTATAATTGAGTCGAAGGGAAAGGATTGCTATTGATTGATTGATTGATTGATTGATTGATTGCTATTTATTGGTTTCAAGATGAAACCAATCAATAAATAGGTTTAAGCTTAATGACAGACATTTTGTCAGGTATTGTTAGATTTTCAGGACTAAGTAAATGTAGCGATTCAGAGGTGACAATTGTTGGTAGCCTTTTATTTTAGCATTGGCCACTTGCTACTGCCCTGTGGTAATGGCTTCTAGACTTTAGATAGTAACTGGTAATGTCTCCTGTGCCTCCCAGAAATTCAGTTGTTGATGTCTCCAGTGCTGTGCTTCATTTTACCTGTGTACTAGAAAACTTCATAGCTTTTTGGAGTTTCATTTACCTAGCTGAAATAGTTCTATCTATGGTGTGCCTTCCATTTCTAAGACATGCTTTCTTCTATGAGTTAAAGAGTCAGTATATTCAGGACTCTGGGGTTGCTTCCAAAACAAATTTAAGCCAGCATTTAAACACAATAATATTTCAAGGTTTACCTTGAATATATAAAAACAATATATAAAAACAATATATTGGCCATTTACTTACTACATAATTAACAAACCCAGTTGTTTAATTTAGAATGTGTTTTACCAAACACTTAATTTAAGAAATTATATTTGTCATTGAAACTTTTGTGTTGATTCCCAAAAGCAGCATTTTATGAATAACAATCTTAAAAGTGTTCTGATAAAGGAAACTATTTTTCTTTGCCAGGAAAATTATGTATAGAGGTTACACCCCAGAGCAAAATAGCATGGATTTCTGAAACTCTCTGTATTGGTTGTGGTATTTGTATTAAGGTAAGTGATAACATTTTATTGAGACAAAAAAAAAATCTGAAAATTCTAAGTACTTTATTTAAAAAAAAAAAAAAAAAAAAGACAAAAGTAGGCAGGGTGGTGATGGCCCACACCTTTAGTCCCAGCACTTGGGAGGCAGAGACAGGCAGATCTCTTGAGTTCCAGGCCAACATGATGTACCAAGTGGGTTCCAGGACAGGCTCAAATGGTACACAGAGAAACCATGCCTCAAAAAAAAAAAAAAAAAAAAAAAAAGGTGAGAAAGTATAGGGCAGCTAAACTAAAAGTAAGTTTAAGAATGTTATTCTTATGACAGTATTTTTTGCTTTTTTAATTAATTAAGCAACACTTCTTTATTACTATTTTACATTATTTCATGTGTGTAGTGTGTGTTCTAACATGCTCGTGTTTGGGTGTCTGTGCCACAGTGTATGTGTGGAGGTTGGAGGACAATATGCAGATGTCAATTCTTCCGCCATATAGGTTCCAGGGATCAAACTCAGATTACCAGACTTGTCAGCAAGTCCCTTTACCTACTGAGCCATCTTGCTGGCCCCCAAACCAAACTGGCTTTATTTAAGAGTTCCAGTGATCTTTAATGGTGAGGCAGTAGGATGCTTTTACCCCCTCTTTCTCCTGGGGGCATCTAAGATGAAAACCGAGAGGACATGCTCGTATGATGGATCTTTAAGTGGGGGCAGGGACTCCATGGTAGCTTCTCTCTTCCTCTCTCGTTGATAGGATGGGTAGTTCAGGATTCTTTACTCTTTGGGAGTCATGTGAACTGTCAGGTCCATCATGCTGTTGCTGTAGCAAAATTCATAGTCATACCTGGAAATGAGCTTGACAAAGAAGTTGCTGAGACCAGTGTCAGCCCCACCCATCAAAGATGAAAGAGGCACTGCTGGTATTAAAGTCACAAGGGACAGCCTAGTCCTCATTAGAACTTCTGATGTCTGCTACACTCCTTCGTGCTGTCATCACATTTGTCAGTTTTCTCCAGGTGGCAGGTCAGATCTACCATGGACATGTTGGGAGTAGGAATATGGAAGGCCGCACCAGTGAGCTTCCTATTCAACTCTGAATGACTGCCCACAGTCTTAGTGGAGCTAGTAGATGCAGAGATGATGTTTGGGGCAGCCCCATGGCTGTCATCACAGTTTCCCAGAGGGGCCATCTACTGGCTGGCAGTGATAGCATGGACTGTGGCCCTGAGTCCCTCAGTGATACCAGAGTTGTCATGGGTGACCCTGGCCAGCGGCACTAAGCAGTTGGTAGTGACAAAGACATTATTGATGATCTTGAATGAGTTTTTCATCCTTATCATGGTTAATGCCCATCATGAACATGGGGGCCATCAGCAGAAGCAGCAGAGATGATAAATGGCCTTTTCAACTCCACCCTTCAAGTGAGCCCTGGCCTTCTCCATAATAATGAAGATATCATTGGACCCTCAGCACCAGATCACCCTGTTTATTTTTGGTATATCACACTCCTGGAAGTAGCCTTCCTATCAATGACAAGTTTCCCAGTTCCAGATTTGACTGTGCTATGAAAATGCCATGGTTGTAATCACACTGGAAGGTGGATACCATGTAGTTGAGCTCAGTGAAGGGATCATTTTATAGCAGCTGTATCCACTTTGTCCAGACACCCAATGTGACCAAATCTGTCTCTGGAACTAAGAGGAGCAGAGGGCCCAAAATTAGTATGTCAGTGAGATGTCCCAGAAGAAGAAGGTGCTTTTCGAGCAAGTCTGATGAAGTGGTTTCAAACTGAGGAACCTACTTAACTGTAGAGAGAACCAATTCCACAGATTTATCTTCTGATCTCCACATATGCACCATTGCATACACACACACTCAATAATTTTTTCAGCAAATAATTGTCAATATTTCTAACTAGATTATTTCTCTGTATTCAGCTTTGCATTACATGAAAGTTTGTAGCAAGGCTTTGCCAGAATAGTCTGGAAATAAAGTATAACTGACATACTTTCTCAAGTCTTATTTATTTTGTTTTGAGACTGGGCTTATTAGGTGGCCTGTAACTTGCTCAGGAGACCAGGCTAGACTTCAACTCACAGAGATCCTCCTGCCTCTGCCTCCTGAGTGCTGAGATTAAAGGAGTGCACCACCACACCTTGCCCAAGTTTATTTATAGTTACCATTCTCAAGTAGAAATGTAACAAAAAGAAAAACATCTTAAGTTTAATCTAAAAATGCTTTGCTGTATCTTATCATTTTAAGCATGTTAAATTTTGTTACATTGAATAATTGACTTTTGACTTTTGAGTGGTAAATTTCCAACTTTACCTTGTAAGAGGCATTTAGTAACCATTTTTGGGTATTTTTGTTTTTAGGTATTATAAAAAAGAACTTCACCAGAGTATGGATATTTCCCTTAGAATTGTTCATATAAGCCATAGGCATATTTTATATTGGTTTTTGAAACCTTATTTAAGTATGTGGATTCTGAAAATATTTTCCTTATTTTGAAAATGTTTTGAGATACTACTCCTGGAAAATATTTTCTGGTCATTTGTCATGTGTACCTACCCGTATGGTCAGCATTAGGGATCTGGTGTGAGCATTACAATGTCATCTATTGTGTTTTCTTTTGGGTGCTTCAAGAAAATAACATTCCAAATTTTTAGACATGCATCTGAATGCCTAAAATCACTAATTAATAAACTTAGTAATGGAGAAGGTCATATATTTATCCTGAGCACTAAGTAGTCCACATTATTTATGAACGATGTGGATTTCTTTTCCATGTCACAAAGCAAGTTTAAAATCACCTGCAGCCTGCTTGTTGGCATTTTTTATACATTGTTGAAAAGAGGAGGGTAGAAATGTAAAAATTTAGCAGTGTAGCCAGGGGGCAGAGATTATTAAGAAATAAAATAATTGTTTTGGTTTTTTCTTTAATTATGTTTTCTTAGTTTGAAATGAAAATTCATTGAATTCTCTGAGTCAGTTCCCTAAATTTATTGAGCATGTCTGCAGATGGGAGCTCTAAGCTGACCTTGTACTTCCTGGCTATGTCACTGTCATTGTCTATACTTTAGACATACATTTAGCCACATTGTGACTGTTGTTTTTTTCTTTAGTGTGCATTTGTATGGGTGGGTAGGAATGCCTGTGGAGGCCAGAAGTCAAAAGTCAGGTGTCTTTTCTCGATTGCATCCAGCATTAAGTTTATTTTAAGGTAGAGTCTCTGACGAACCGTGGGCCTCACTAGTCTATCTAGACTGACTGGTTGGCAAGCCCCAGGGATCTTCCTGTTCTTGCCTCCAGCTCTGAGATTTTAGGAATAGATACCTGGCTTTTTACATGAGTGCTGGGGATATGCCTTAACTGAGTATTAGGACCCACGTGAGACATCACCCCAGCCCACACTACCACTGCCCTTAGTGACTTTCTTACACTTGCTATTTTTGTTCTGTGGACATTTATCTCATAGTCTTGAGTAAATTAACAGAAAAGCATGAAGCTTTGATAACAATACATAGGCTATCTATTGGTAGGATAGAAGTAGTTCTCTCCCCCAAATGATAGAATTCAGATACCATAAAAGACTTTACCTAATATAGGAAAGACATAAAGAGGACAGGAATAATTCAAAGGAAAGAAAACATCTGTTATAGACAGTTTACAGAAAGCACTGAACAGTAGTGTCTAACATGAAGAATATTAAATTTGTTGATACAGCTTTAATCTCCAAGGAACTTCATTTTTATTTTTAAGTAAATGAGTTAAAAATTATTTTTCATTTGTAAAATTCATGCTTGGAACATTTCAATAAAAATATTCTTAGTCCATTTGAGTAATTATTTTATAAATTAACATATCATTCTTTGTTTTAACAGAAATGCCCCTTTGGCGCCTTATCAATTGTCAATTTGCCAAGCAACTTGGAGAAAGAAACAACACATCGATATTGTGCCAATGCCTTCAAGCTTCACAGGTATATTCCTCTTTACTTCAGTCAAGGGTAAAATTCCCTTAGAATATTCAGAGAAATGGAAGAAAGTTTGGTAATGAACATTTACCAAAGAGTAATAAACTATTATAAAATGCAAGGATATATTTGTATGTCAGCAGTTGCTGGTTGTGGTGGCACATGCCTTTAATCCCAGCAATGTGGAGGCAGAGACAGGTGGATCTCTGTGAGTTTGAAGAGATCCAAAAAAACTGAGCCTTAACTGTAAAGAAAAAATGTTATTTTAGCTGAAGAATAGGATAAATAAAATTTGGAATATACTTGATTAGTTTCTCTTGGCTAACTCCCCTCCATGATGCTCAGCATATATTTCTTAGCTTATTAATGGATATCTGTAATGTGCAATTGCTTTTAAAGTACATCATTCTGCTATTGTGTACCTTCTTCTGTCTAATACCATGGTTTTGGTGTTTTTGGTTGTTTTTGGTATTATAATAGGTTGCCTATCCCTCGTCCAGGTGAAGTTTTGGGATTAGTTGGAACTAATGGTATTGGAAAGTCAACTGCATTAAAAATTTTAGCAGGAAAGCAAAAGCCAAACCTTGGAAAGTATGATGTATGTATTAACACACAATAAAAATTTATATCTGGGTCTTTTATTTAATTGTTGAGAATGATGGGTATAATTTTTTTTCTGATGTTATTTTCAGGTTAATTTGTGGGGTTAATCTGTATTAACTTTAATTAATTGTATGGCCCAAGTTTGGTTTTGTTTAGTTTGATTTTTTTTGTTGTTCATTTTTTTATTTAAATTGGAAACAAGATTGTTTTATATGTCAATCCAGTTCCCTCTCCCTCTCCTCCTTCCCTGCCCCCACCTATCCTATACCCTTTATGCTCCCAGGGGGTATGAGGCCTTCCATGGGGGATCTTCAGAGTCTGTCATATCCTTTGGGATAGGGCTTAGGCCCTCCCCTGGGTGTCTAGGATGAGGGAGTATCCCTCTGTGTGGAATGGGCTCCCAAAGTCCATTCCTATGCTAGGGATAAGTACTGATCTACTACAAGAGGCTCCATAGATTTCCAAGCCTCCTCACTGATACCCACATTCATGGGGTCTGGAACAGTCCTATGCTGGTTTCCCAGCTATCAGTCTGGAGACCAAGAGCTCCCTCTTGTTCAGGTTAGCTGTTTTTGTGGGTTTCCCCAGCCTGGTCTTGACCCCTTTGCTCATCACTCCTCCCTCTCTGGATTCCAGTTCAGTGTTTAGCTGTGGGTGTCTAGTTTGCTTTTTATTTATTTATTTATTTATTTTAAGAAATGCTCTTACTATGCGGCCTTAGAGGACCTTGAAACTCAAATCCTCTTGACTCAGCCTCCCAATACTGGGACACACTACCATGTGTGAATTCCGTTCTTTGTTTTTGTTGTTATCGTTTGTTTGCAGTAAATAAGATCTGTTAGTGTTACTTACCTAGTTAACTAGAACTAGAAATTCCTAGTTCGCTTAAACTTTTGAATTAGTATGCCTTGATTTGAAACTAAGTCCATTTCCATTCCTGAGTTAGAAGTCTTCATTTGATACATGTTTAACTTATTTAACATCCATCCCCTTTGTATTTTTATCTTAAATTCTGATAACTATAATATATATTTCTAGGATCCACCTGATTGGCAAGAGATTTTGACCTATTTCCGTGGATCTGAATTACAAAATTACTTCACCAAGATTCTAGAAGATGACCTGAAAGCCATAATCAAACCTCAATATGTAGATCAAATTCCCAAGGCTGCAAAGGTCAGTTGGTTTATATTAAAAGATTATTGGTAGAAAAACAAAGGTAATATTAAAATAGACTTGTTTTACTTTGTGACTTTTTTAGGCTTAAGGAAAATAGTGATAATATTCTGTTATGATAGGGAACAGTGGGATCTATTTTGGACCGAAAAGATGAAACAAAGACACAGGCAATTGTATGTCAGCAGCTTGGTGAGTATTTGAGTACATGGTTTAATAGATTGCATTTGGTCTTTATGTGGGTTGCTGAATCCATGAGGAAAGCTTTCGTAATTATCTTATTGCTACTACACAGTTTTAAACTGAAATATCACTCAAACCCAGAGTACTGATGTGCAGTGTGCATTTTGCCCAGAAGAGGTGAACTGGAATTTATACCATTGAACACAATGCTTCTGATTCTTTGTAGATTTAACTCACCTTAAAGAACGAAATGTTGAAGATCTTTCAGGAGGAGAGTTGCAGAGATTTGCTTGTGCTGTCGTTTGCATACAAAAAGCTGATATGTAGGTTACTTTACACTTTTTGTGTATCTTAATCTTTGTGAGTTTGTATTTGTAATACTGCTAATACAGTAGTACTCTTGAATGGAATAACTAGTAAAGATATAAAGCTCTGATTTTGAGGTAATATGTTAAAGCAGTTGTATATCCATGACCCATTTTCCCCTGTATGAGGTTCAAGGCAGGGAAATTTTGTTCTTATGAGTAGTTATTTATGCCATACAGCGTCTAATTTTTAAAGCTTAAGCTCTCCATCCAGGTCAGTAAGCTTTCTAAATTCTGAGTAGAGGATGGTCTTTAGACTAGTTGCAATCAGAAAAACATGCTATGTGAGGGAGAAATGGAATAAGAGGCAGATCTCCTTTCTACTTCCTACTATCACCCTCCTTTCAGATTTTTTTTTTAATTTATTTATTATGTATACAGTCTTCTGCCTGCATGCCAGCAGAGGGCACCAAATCTCATTCAAGGTGGTTATGGGCCACCATGTGGTTGCTGGGAATTGAACTCAGGACCGCTGGAAGTAGTCAGTGCTTTTAGCCACTGAGCCATCTCTCTAGCCCTCCTTTCAGATATTTATTGGCTCCATATTTTTCCACATTTCTCCTCTGGTGGATAAACAAGCCCCTTCTTCTCACAAAGTGGTTTGTGAAATTCTGTGTGTGAGAAAAATGATCTGCTTTAAAGCCTTTGGACTTGAGGCAATGAAGAAAATGGCTCTTTGGGGCCAGTAAAATGGCTTAACAGAATAGGTACATAGGTGCTTGCCACCAAGCCCTATTACCTGAGTTCAGTTCTGCAGGACCACAAGGTGGAAAGACAACCAACTCAGGCAAGTTGTTCTTGGACCTCCTCATGAAGACAGTGACACCTCAAACACACACACAAAATAAATGCAATTTAAAAACAAAAAGAAAAGGGCCCTTCAAACTATTTCAGACTGTACCAGAGTATCTTTCATGACTGACCAATTATAAGTCAGTCCTATCTTCAAAGCCCTCCTCAAATTTATAGATACATGTTTCTTCTTTTTGTAATTATTTTCTTCCTTCTGAACAAAAGACAGAATTTTACCCTTACAAGTAGCCTCTCTCGTTGGTATGTGAAAATTCTAATTCTCTTAAGTCAGAGCCATTATTGAGCTACATAAAAAGAATATATATGGTAGAATTATTTTAGATTGGTTAAACTGAGCATACTTGCTTTTGTTTTTTCTTAGTTTTATGTTTGATGAACCCTCCAGTTACCTCGATGTCAAGCAGCGTTTAAAGGCTGCCATTACTATTCGATCTCTAATAAATCCAGATAGGTAAGTATAGATCCAGTACATTTCTGTGTTCTTTTGTTGAGGGAATTTTACAGATATTCAAAGATTAAACGTTTTCATGTTTTTCATCTTGATCATTTCATCTTGGTCACCTCTATCCTAGATCAAAAATTCTTAGTGCAAGATTTGTTTATTGGTACCTCGGATTCTATGTAGAGTTTAAATTTTGTATATGTGTATTTTGTATGTATGTTTTAGGGGGAAAACATCTTAGTTTTTACTAGATCTCAAATGCAAATCTCAGTGTTAATACATACACAACACACATACTTAAAACATAATCACCAGAATTATGTTCTGGTGTTTACAGTCTCACTGAACAGATAAAGAGTTCTTAAGCAACTTCTGGGACCCATTCACTATACCATGTGTTGAGTGTTATTTAAAAAGCAGCTTGAGAAAGAAAGATAGCATGCAACAGAGCTCACGTGGAAGGTTTTTTTATTAGGGGGAAACGGGAGAACGGCCTATGGGGACAGGAGCTGCAGAAGAGAAAAGAGAAGGGGGTGGGAACACAGGCAGAGAAGCAGAAAGAGAGAAGGATGGGGGGTGAGCAGGGCTCTTTTAAAAGGGAATGTGGGGAATGTGCACAGGTTGTCTCTTAGTGGCTGCAGGTGAGGGCTTATCCTGTCAGAACCCCAAAGGCAGTCCAGTACAGATGCCTGAATACTAACATTGAGTATGATGCTTTCTAATTTCCAGAGTTTCTAAATTCATCATTGACCTTGATGCTTCTAGTAATTTTATTGGGTCTTTAGGTAGATTTCACATTTGCAGTTGAGCCAGCATGTGATCTAAAGAGCTTGTTATTCAATGGTGCAGATTTATTTGACAAGACTGTGACCAGACTACAAAAGGATTTTGGTACAGTGTTCTTTTCTTATATTGTGATATCTCTCTTTAGTTATTTATTTGATAAACATTATTTCAAGATACAGAAGTAGCAGAAAACAAAGGGAGAACTCTAAGAGAGATCTCAGCTTTTCAGACATTGTTGGTATCTATAATGTTGGTCATGGGTTTTAATACCCTCTGCAGATGGAAGCTTGCTTGCTTCTTGTATTGAATCATCACACATAATATGTCAGGACTCTGAACTGTTGCTTAAAAGCAAAGAGACAAATTGGAAACACATTACCCATCAGGAACTTGAAATGCCAAGGAAGTACATTGGAATCAGAGTGATGACTTCCCTTTAATTATGTTTTTGTGCAAACAGGTCATATAGCTATAGAACCAGTGGAGTTGATGAGACCTTCAGAGTGAGAAAGTAGTATAAGGAGTCTTGGAACTTCTAGCCCTATGGTGTGTATAACAATGCATTTTGGCGGGCTATGCCCTCAACACTGATTATATAAAGTTTTATAGGTGAAAAGGAACATGAGCTTAGCTCTCAGAAAGTATATAAAGCAGTCATCTCTAAACTTAGTCAATATACATAACAAGGTAGCAGTGTTAGCATTTCATCTTACATGCAGAAAGAGCCTCTAAAATAATGCAACACTTAGTCTTAAAAACCCTAGAAATGGGACTAGAGAGATGGCTCAACAGTTAAGGGCACTGGCTGCTCTTCCAGAGGTCCTAAGTTCAGTTCGTGGCAACCACATGGTAGCTCACAACCATCTGGAATGAGATCTGGCCTGCAAACATACATGCAGACAGAACACTGTATATATAATAAATAAGTCTTTTTAAAAAATGTTCAAAAGCCCAAACAAATCTAAAAGTTAAAAGGATAAGGGATTGAGGATGGCTCAGTTTGTAATATGATTCTCATGCAAACACGAGACCTTGAGTTCGGTCCCAGAATCTCATAAAAAAGCCAAGCACAGTAGCATGAACCAGTAACTCAGTGCTGGGCAGGCAGACACAAAAAAATCCCTGGGTTTGCCAGTCAGCCAGTGTAGTCAATCAATGAACTCCAAGTTCAGTAAAAGATCCTGTCACAGAAAATGAGTTAGAGAAGCAGTTGAAGATATGGATGTTGGCCTCTAGCCTCTGTAAGTGTGCACATGTGTGTGTATAGCAACACACATGCGCTTGCACTCGCTCACGCGCGCTTGCGAGCGCGCACACTTATTGCAACATTAAAAACTCCCTGGACTACTTAAATGAGTCAGGAACAGCAAAACAGTATTGGGAACATTAAAACCCCATCTCACAGTTAATCAGTGTATCTGAGAAAATGGCATTGAAATACAGGGGGAGATTTGAAACATGGTGATTAGTAAGAAAACTATTTGGTTGTGTTTAAAGAGCCTCGGCAAGATGACTGAGCAGGTGAAGTCACTTGCTGCATAAGCCTGGCAAGCAATTCAGTCCCTAGAACCTGTATAAAATTAGAAGGAGAGAATCAATTCCATAAAGTTATCTCTGATTTCAACATAACCTCCATGGCATGTGCACTCACATATATACAGTAATAATAATGATGATGGGATTTTGTTGGTTTGGTTTGGTTTGATTTTTGAAGATAGGGCTTCTCTGTATAGCCTTTGCAGACCAGGCTGACCTCAAACTCAGGGATCTGCCTGCTTCTTCCTCCCAAGCACTGGGATTAAAGACATGTGCCACTATGCCTAGCAATTATCTATTTATTTAAATTTAAAAACTCTAACTTTTAAATTGGAGGCATTGAAGGACGTTTAGGACTGATAAAACCCCCACTCCTCAAACAAAAAGTTCAGTGCAGGGCTGGAGAGATGGCTCAGCCATTAAACGCTAGTCTCACAATCAAAAATGTTCAGTACAGCGTCAGTAGCACTTAGCATGTTTCAAATTGAACCTACAAATATATCAGTAGAATCTTAATTGCCCAAACAGACATACTTTTTACTTCATACACATGGTTGGGCATTATAACACATGCTTGAACATTGTAACAGTCTTTGGAAAAAAATAGTATGAAAACATAATCCTGTTTAAGAACTTGACAGTATGGTAAAGAAAAGAATATATATGTATCCTGATCTTAAATAGTTTCTAAATCCAAATCCCTTTTAGTCAGATCATATCATCTACTTTCATCTATGATTTTTAGGTACCAAATAATGTGACTTTAACAGTGATAGCATGTTAAGACAAATTCAGTTAACCAAGCAGAAACAGTAAGTAAACACACTTTTGTAGATGCAGCAATCCTGTGTGTTGGTTGAGTTAATATAATCCTGTGTAAGCCTGGCTGTTGTGGCCCACACCTTTAATCCAGCACTCAGGAAACAGAGGCATTGGAATCTCTGAGTTCAAGGCCACTCTGGCCTACAAAGTTCCAGGACAACTGGAGCTGTTACACGAAAACCCTGTGTTTGGAGGGGGGAAAAAAAGGTAATTCATGTATGATGATAGGTTGGTGGTAAGCAGCTAAAGAAAGTATATCTTCATTCTGAAACTGTCAAAGCATGCATTCAGTCAGTCTTTAATGCTATAAAAAAAAAAAAAAAACTTGAAAATCATATCCTTCAGGGAAAAAAGTAAGAAATCCAAAATAAACAAGAACTTTTAATTGTATACATTATCTGTATTTTTCAGCCCAGATTACTCACTTGGGTACACAGATACTGTCTTCTACGACATCAGAAAAGTTTTGACTTCTAAGTTAGTTCATTTTGAATTTAGGAAATGCAAGAGATTTCATTAAGTAAAAGGAGTTTTAAGAGTAGGAAAAATTCATTTGCATATTAGGAAAAGTATTCCTGTGGTGGAATGGATTAACATAGGAGCTGAGTGGTATTTTAATAGATGAAATTTTTTGGCCGGTGTCTAGGAATGGATGGCCCTTAAACATACAAAACAGAGGAAGGCATTATTGAAGGGTGGACTTCATTTTGTAAAATTTTTTTTGTACATAAATAGTAACAGTAAGATACATGAAGTCAGCCAGGTGGTGGTAGTGCACACCTTTAATCTGAGCATTTGGGGGACAAGGTCGGGACAATCTCTGGAGTTTGAGGCCAGCCTGGTCTACACAGCAGGACAGCCAGGGTTACACAGAGAAACCCTACTCAATAAAACGAACAACAACACAAAAAGCTGTAAAAGCTCTTGAAAGCCCAAAAATGCTCATTTCATGTGGAATGATATACACATCAGGGACCCTGAAAACTGAGATTTGTTGACATCTGGTAATCTTGAAAGATTTGTGACAAGAGTCTGACTTAGAATATAGATATAGGAGGAACATGATAAATTGCTGCTAACACAAGACATGGGTAGGAAAGAATTCATAGGGTTGCCAATCTTAGCAATACCAAGGGAAGTAGAATTAGTCATTTTGTGAGAGAGACTTTGTATTAATACAAATGACAACTTGACTTGTGTAGGAAACTGACTTTTGCAGGAAGCTGATACTTGAAGTTGGTATTTGAGGTGTGTGAACATAGGGGTGGGAATAAAATGCTACAAAGAAGCTTCAGGGCTAAGTGTTTAATAGCTTATGTTAGCAATTACTTTTTAAATCATCTTAGTTGAATCTACCCTGACATTCACGTTGTCCCACTCACTCTTTAAGCACTGTCCTGCTAACTAACTTTCCTTTCTAAGTTGACTGGATGTCATCCTCTGTATTTGCCATGTAGCCTTTTGCAGGGCAGTGTCACTCTCATATTATTCACTGTCTGTCCCAGTTAAACTCAGAATTCTTAGGTGGTTAGTGTTCTGAAGTAAGAGATTCTGTTTAGTCTTTCCTTGCATATCCCATACAATAAGGCAGGACGTTGTAAGTCTTAAATAGAGAAGGTGAATGTTGAAGTATTCAAACAAGTAAGCACTCAAAGCTGTATTTGAATTTAGTATTATAATTCCATTTTGCAAAGTTTACATTATTAGAATGTTTCATTTTAGCAAGACTTTTTTTTTCATATACTTGTAAACCTTATATTACAAATGTTTTTTTCTTTTAGCAGAGGAAGACTTTTTTGTTTTTCCAAGACAGGGTTTCTCTGTGTGGCCCATGCTGGCCTCGAACTCACAGAAATCCACCTGCCTCTGCCTCCTGAGTGCTGGAATCAAAGGCATGAACCACCACCCCCTGGCTAGGAAAACATTTTAAATGTGAGCGTTGATAATGAGCCTTGTGTTACTATGTTCTTTTACACTTTTTTAAATTCTGTTTTTCTAAAATTTGCAACTGTTGTAAAAAGAAATAAATGAGTCTTAGCTAATGATGTTATGTTACAATTAAAAATAAAAGTCTGTCTTGCTTTCCAGATATATCATTGTGGTGGAACATGATCTAAGTGTATTAGACTATCTCTCTGACTTCATCTGCTGTTTATATGGTGTACCGAGTGCTTATGGTGTTGTCACTATGCCTTTTAGTGTAAGAGAAGGTAACTTCAAAATAAACCTATTCCCATAATGTTGTAACCTCTTCTCTAATGCCTAGAAATGGATTACTGTTGATATTCAGTACTTTGCACTGCTCTAATATGTTTGTGACACTGATATTTTGTGATTTAATCATTGAGAGTGAAGTGTATTGTAAGGCTGTACACAGTTACAGAAAAGAATTCCTTTTTTTGAGAATTTTCTGCTGGGAGAATAAAAATGCATTCTCACTATTTTTTGTTATCATGAGTCCTTACATTTTGACTTATACAATGTTTGACCTTCAGATTTATTCTTAGCAAGCTAGCACATTTAGTAAAAGTGGTAAAATTCTTAGAAGTCATTCAGTACTCGACTGTTTTCATATTTCACATTTATCTGTAATCCCTATCTTGGGTTTGACAGGCTCTGTAAAATTGAATAAGGTAGTTTAAAGTATTTAAATAATTTTGAAAAATAAATTTACCAAAACTTATTTGATAAATTTAAAATTTATCAAAACCTTTTCACTAAAAGGAATTGGCAGTTTCTATAATTTATAAAAAGTATGTCAATAGCTTAGAATGTGCAGAGATTTTTATAACTCACCTACTTACATATTTAGGATTAACAGCTCTGTATTTTAAGGAAAACTTGGTGAGGTTGCCCCAGTTTTCTGGTCGGTAGTCTTGATTTTTTAGACAGGATCTCACTATGTAGCTCAGGTTGTCCTGGGACTCACTATGTAGATCAGACTGGCCTCAAACTCACCAAGCTCCTCTACTGGGATTGAAGGTGAATGCCACCACACCAGCTTCTTGCCAGTGATCTTAAGAAAATTTTTAAATAGGGGTTGTGACCTCCGAGATGACTTAGTGGGTAAAGATACTAGCTGCTTAGCCTAACGACCTGCGTTGAATACCCAGAACCCCACATAGTGATAGAGAAAAAGTGACTCCAAAGTTAGCCGCTCACGTGCACATACTCACAGGTACTGTCAGAAACAAAAGTAAATACTGACAGCAGTGAGGGCCTGGCCTGCAGGATGGCTCGATGCTCAATGTGTGTTGTGTCAGCCAGTGGTGCCCATAGAGAACTAACTCCATGGAGTTGCCTTCTGGCCTCCACATGCACACTGTGGCATGCATGCACACACATAAACATAGACATTAAAATAATAATAAAGTTTTACAGATATCAGAATTAAATTTAGTCTTGCAGGGTATTTTTGTTTTGGTGAGGTGGCTCTGGTTTACTTTCCCTTCAGGTTGCATGGTGTTTTTGGTGTTTTGGTTTGTTTGGTTTTGGTTTGTCGGGATAGGATTTCTCTGTGGCTTTGGAGGCTGTCCTGGAACTCTCTTTGTAGATCAGGGTGGTCTCAAACTCAGATCCATTTGCCTCTGCCTCCGGGACTAAAGGCGTGTGCCACCACTGCCTGGCCAAAGTCCTGTCTTTTATTGGTAGATGGAGCTCTTAGACTTAAGTTTTCTTCACCAAAGTTTTTGAGTTTAATTTGTAGCTTTACATTTGTTTTTAAGAAGAAGGTTCCTCTTAGAAAAGTTGGTTCTGTCATTACCAAGGTTTCCAGCTGAGCATAAAAGTCCCTTTCGTGAATGGCTCTTAGTCCGAATGGAATGACAGCTGTCCTTACTTTCTCAAGGCCTCCCAAAGCTTCCACTGCTTTTTCTCCACTTATGCACTAGAAGTGCTGAAAACACATCTTTCATTACGTTTTACTCAAATAATCTTTATTTTCAATTTGTCCTCTTTTTTTTTTTTAACGATTTTATTTATTATGTATACAACATTCTGCTTCCATGTATAACTGCACACCAGAAGAGGGCACCAGATCTCATTATAGATGGTTTTGAGCCACCATGTGGTTGCTGGGAATTGAACTCAGGACCTCTGGAAGAGAAGTCTTAACCTCTGAGCCATCTCTCCAGCCCGAATGTTCTACTCTTAATAGAGAAGGCTTATATGTACAATGTTGGTTTACTTTCATCTACTATAAAGCACTCTAGAGAATAGTTTTTATCTTAGTAAATGGAAAACAAAAAAATATATATATTTAATGAAGTTAGCTCATTTAGTTTCTTATAAAACTATAAAATTAATAAGAAAAAATACACTAATAGCTTCCAACTGTATGGCTATCTCATAAAGCAATACTCACTACTTAAATTGATTGATTTTAAAACTTTTTGTGCCAATTGCATACATGAAAATATTCCATTCTTATGTCCTTGCTTTTTTGAAAAAAAAAATGACTTTAATTTACCTTGTATGGGTATGTATGTACATGTGTGTGGGCACACGCATAACAGCAGTGTGTATGGAGGGCAGATGGAGACTTCAGGGGTGGGTTCTCCTTCCACTCTGTGTTCTAGTCCTGAACTCAAGTCATCAGGCACCTTTACCCAGTGAGCCATCTTTCTGACCCAAAATAATTTTAATACAAGGATACTATAATATGGTCACAGACTGTTTAAACTTAAAATGTAGCTCACACTGGCAGGAAGGGATTCATTTCGGTTTGGTGGTGGAATGACCTCATAATGTAGCCAGGTTAGTCTCATATTCTAGCTGTCTTCTAACTTGGATTATAGGCACCCGCCACCTTGCCCAGCATAATTACAATGTTGAAACACACAGAGTATTGACTTTTGATTATATCCAGGCTTGATATTAACAAAGATATATAAAGATAGGAGAGAAATATATGGAGTATACATGTATTATTCCCCCCCAAAAAAAACATAGGGTTAATTCTTTAGATTTATTTTTATTTATATTATTTATATTTTCTTTAGATCTTTACTAATCTGTTTACAATTTTCTTCCCAACAGGCATAAACATTTTTTTGGATGGCTATGTTCCAACAGAAAACTTAAGGTTCAGGGATGCATCGCTTGTTTTTAAGGTAGCTGAGACAGCAAATGAAGAAGAAGTTAAAAAAATGTGTATGTATAAATATCCTGAGATGAAGAAAAAGATGGGAGAGTTCGAGCTAGCTATTGTAGCTGGAGAGTTCACAGATTCTGAGATCATGGTGATGCTGGGGGAAAATGGTAAGGCCTTATTTCCTGATGGGTGAAAGTTGGTTCATAAACTACCTATGTTCATAGAGCACTGACTCAGGCCTGGCATCTTGAGTTTGAAACTATAAATTTATTCTTTTAACTTTACATTTTTGAGGTAGTTACTAATTTAGTCTCACTGTTGTTCAAACAGGTTAATATTTCTAACTTCATTATTTCTACTAAAAATATATAGAATAAACTAGTGAGGCAGATACTCATTCTGCAAAAGAACTGGAAGGAATAGGCAGTTGATAACTTTAATGCGTACCAGCTTTATAAGACTTCCTTTTGTACCTATATTTGGAATTTTCTTATTTGAAGTTTAGAGATCTCTGTCTACTTTCACAAATAGTTTTATTGCCGATATTTTCAATATTAAGTCAGAAGACTTAAGTTAAATGCTTTATTAAAATGCACTGGAAAGGATTCTTCTCCTTTTTCTTCTTCCTACTCCTCCTTCCTCTTTTTCTTCTTCCTTCTTCCTCCGCCTACTCCTTTTCTCCTCTTTTTTTGGTTTCTCTGTGTAGCCCTGGCTGTTCTGAAACTTCATCTGTAGACTAGGCTGTCCTTGAACTCAGATATCCACCTGCCTTTGCCTCCCAAGTGCTGGGATTAAAGGTATGTGCCGCCACCACCCAACTAGGGATTGTTTTTCTTCATAACTTTTACATAACATCTTCAAGACACATTTCTCAGATTATAACAAGTAGGAAATTATGTTTTACTTTAGAATGTGAAGGTTAATTTTGTTTTTGTTATCTTACCAGGTACAGGTAAAACCACATTTATCAGAATGCTTGCTGGAAGGCTTAAACCTGACGAAGGAGGTACTGCTATAAATATTACCTGTTTATTCTATACCTTTATTTATCTAAAGGTAAACTTTAAAAGTGTGGGCAGGTTTTTGTGTCTTATGTACTTGTATTATTTTGCAGGAGCAGTACCAATTCTGAATGTCAGTTATAAGCCACAGAAAATCAGTCCCAAATCAACAGTGAGTTGTTACTTTAATTTGGTTATTAAAGTGGGGTGGGTGTGTGTGTGTGTGTGTGTACCCCTTTGGTCTTTTGCAGCAAGGGCATTAGCTCAGTGGTAAAGTATATGTTTAATATGAGTTAAGACACTGAATTTAATCCCCACCACACAAAAGTAGCAATTAAAATTCTTATCCATATTAGCGTCTATACAGTCAGAGACTGGCCTAGAGTCTACTGTATAACACAAATACCTGAAGTTCTCATTTCATCTCGCCCCTGTACTGGAGTTGTGGGTGTGTGATACCACATCTGGCTCTGGAAGGAGCTTAAAATCTGTCAGCATTTTTTTTTTTTTTTTACAAACCTAAGGCAAGCCTTTGCCCAAAAGCAAATATTCTTCAAAGAAGAAATGCAGATGACCCATAACCACATGGAAAGATGCTTAGCACTTTTAGTTGTTAAGAAAATGCAGATCAAACGTGGCTAATACCAATTTACAATCACTAGGATAACTAATAAAATCCAAATGACAGGCACAAGTATTGGTGACAGTGTGAAGAGATTGATTGGACACTGCATGTTGCCGATAGCAATGTAAAGCTACAGCCACTAAGAAAGCTATCTGTAGCAGCTGTATTTATCATAGTCAAACAGTCGAAAAAAACAAATGTCTGTGTCAGCTTCTGATAAATTGTTGCAAGAATAAAACATGAAAGTGTTATGCTAAAGCAGTAGTGTCCTTTGATTTAAGAGAGTGTTGTATTAAGCTTCTTAATCACTGTATTGTCAGCACCACAACCTGTTCATTAATATTTTTCATAATCTGTTTCAAGTTCTCAAACTCAACTCTCTGTTCAGAATAACAAATAGAGGGTATTTTAGGATTCAACTAAGAATAAGATGGTGCATTTTGTGTTATAACCTACAAGTTATCCAAGGTACTTAAACCCACTTTGACATTTAGAATTATTCCTTTTCTGAATTATTTCTCCCCTGAAACCTTCATTTACTTTCTGCTTTTAAATTCCAAGATTATTGCCTTTTTCCTTATTTATGTACATGAGTGCTGTCCATGTACATAGAAAGCCTCAAAAACATGAGCCACATGGTGAACAGGGATTAAAACTAGGATTCACCAGGTGTAGCCATCAATCTAAGCACTCTGGGGCAGAGGCAGGCGGCTATCTGAGTTGGAGGCAGTCTGGTTGGCTACATGGTGAGACTCTGTCAGAAAAAAGTTAGAATTGATATATATCGATGGTAAATTGAAGTCATTTTGGTCTGAAGTTTAGTACTAAAATTCATAAACAGAAAAGTTCTTTCCTGATAATTTATCATTTACTTTCTTCCACTGAAACCAGGGAAGTGTTCGACAGTTACTGCATGAAAAGATCAGAGATGCTTATACTCATCCACAGTTTGTGACTGATGTAATGAAGCCCCTACAGATTGAAAACATCATTGATCAGGAGGTACTATAAAGTTATCCATACAGTTTTGTGTAAGTCATTATTTCAGACTTTGGTTATCTTTACATATTTTGCTGAACTTCTCCAATTAGGTGCAGACATTGTCTGGTGGTGAACTGCAGCGAGTAGCTTTAGCTCTTTGTTTGGGCAAACCTGCTGATGTTTATTTAATTGATGAACCATCTGCATATTTGGATTCTGAGCAAAGATTAATGGCAGCCCGGGTTGTCAAACGGTAAATTTCTTTCTTCTAGAGTAACATTTTTGATTGTGTGTACTGACATACAAAGTTTAAAACACTTGAATCTCGTTTTGTGACGGGAATAGCTATGAAAAGTTTGCAAATTGTTGTGTTCCAGTTTCATACTCCATGCAAAGAAGACAGCTTTTGTTGTGGAACATGACTTCATCATGGCCACCTATCTAGCAGATCGTGTCATCGTGTTTGATGGTGTTCCCTCTAAGAACACAGTTGCAAACAGGTAAAGATGCTTTTTTAAATGTTCAGAAATAAAGTTCTGACAATTGGAACTTACCACATTCTAAATTTCCAGTAAACTCATAAACACTGAAGTCCTATTGCTATTTTGAAGGAGATAACTAATAAGTCCGTTTCTTGCTAACTTCCTAGGTTATTCTTATACAATATTGTATGGGGCTTGTACACTAGTTTTCAGATAACTATAGAATACTTGACCCAGGTAGATAATCTTACAGAGCCCTAGACCTCTTGCCTTTTCTTTCAGCTTAACGTTGTCCAGTTGATTATTTATACTTCAAAACAAAAATAACATTTTACAGATAATCCTTACTTAATTTTTGTGCAGAATGAAATCCAAAGTAGTAATGACTTGCCCAGCTACAGTAAATAGTAGATGCCAAATACAGGACACTGACAAGAGTTTGAGTGTATTATTTTACCTTCACCTTCTCTTGGTGTTCTGACTAGAACTGTAGGGAAAACCAAAATTTAGGTCTGTCAATGAGATGTTACTTTACCATTAGTGATAAACCTACACTACCAGTATATAAACACATTTTGGGCCCATGAAAGTGCCAGCCAGGTATGGTAGCACACTCCTTTAATCCCAGCATAGGAAGCAGAGGCAGATGGATTTATTTCTATGAAATCAAGGCCAACGTGGCCTAAGTAGTGTTTTCCAAGATAGCCAGATCTACTAGTAAGATCCTGTATCGACAAAACAGAAAGTACCATGCATTCCCAAATTCCTTTGTTGTCATGTTAAGTGCTCCTTTCAGAAAATTGCTTATATATGTAAAATTTATTTCTTCAATAATGATCTTTTAAAATTAAAAATTTTAAAATTTAAAAATTAATTTGGGGGAGGCTGGAGAGATGACTCCAGTGGTTAGCAGCCCTGGCTGCTCTTCCAGAGGACCCGTGTTCATTACCCAACACCTACATGATTGCTCACAACTGTCTAGAACTCTAAGTAAATCTTTAAAAAAATAAAATTAGCTAAGGTATAAAAGTCAAAAGCATGAAAGTTTTAATGAGTGATACTTCTGGAGCTGTGAGAGTAACTCAGTTAGGTGCAGAGGTGCAGAGTTCTGCCTTCTATCTGGAGTTATGCAAAGAAAAAAAATCAATAAATATTGTGTCTTAAGTTCTTTTTCAACGTCAAAAATACAGATCATATTGTGTTTGTTTTATACAGAAATTTGACCAACCAAATGATGTGTAGTGTCAGCCTCTGTGCATAGTTGAGAGGAAGTGGGACTTACCCAAATTTCATGAAAATTGCTTGTTTTCCCCTAGTCCTCAAACTCTTTTGGCTGGCATGAACAAATTTTTGTCTCAGCTGGAAATAACATTCAGAAGAGATCCCAACAACTACAGACCACGAATAAATAAGCTCAATTCAATCAAGGTATACAGATAACTCTTATCATTATAAACTTGTCTTTTTCTTCTTAAAAATCTATTGGTTCACAGGGGTATTTTTTCCTCGTTAATATTGTGGTATTCTTGTTGCAGGCAACAACTGTAATGTATCTGCTGTTCTTATTTGTTAATCTGTGTGTGCTCTTTAAAACCGCCTGGAAATCTGGCACAAGTGGTGGCACACACCATTAATCACAGCAGGCAGATCTCTGAGTTTGAGGCCACCCTGGTCTGTATAATGAGTTCCCGGACAGCCAGGGCCATGGGATTTTGTCTTCTCTAAAAGAATAAAATAAAACAGTGGCCTTACTGTATGCCACAATGAAGTTTTTAAGAATAATTTTAAGCAGTTTCTCGTTTTTTGTTTGTTGTTTTTCAAGACAGTTAAAATGAATTAACATTCTCCTGCTTCTGTGTACTGAGTTAACATAGAGCATAATCCTAATGAGAGAAGCCCAGCAGATAGATGAGTGGATTGTTAGTAAGTGTATCTTATATTCAAGCTGACAGTATTTGTCTTTTGTACCAGGAGTTTAAAGGTGGAATAGATGCTTCCCCCAAGAATATTTCAGTGAATGACAAATAAAGCATCTTAGGTAGATATGAGCTACTGTGAGATGCTGACAGATAAGCGCTGCTGAGAACTATATAGATGGCTATAGCTTCAAGGAGGAAAACTGTTCTGACTTTTGTTACTTCTCTTATTTTTTAGGATGTAGAACAAAAGAAGAGTGGAAACTACTTTTTCTTGGATGATTAGATTGAATCTGAGTTTATCAATAAGCCATTTACTTACTGGGATTTTTATCATATAAAACTTTAATCAGGTTTTATGGCCCCACATACTCTGGAGCTTGAAGTATGATTTTCTTAATGTGACATCAAAAGCCAGTTGTCTGTCTTATAAATTGTTAAGGGCTTTTCTGTTCTTAAGATAAACCTCTGTGCATACTTCACTAAAATGGAGACATTTCAAATCCGTAAATCACCTCAAGATTTTCATGATCTGTGGGGAGATTTTCAGTTGTGTATTATATTCATGTACCAGATGCTTACTGGTGTTGACCACCTTTAAAATCTTGATAAGATCTGTATTTATCTGTTTGCTAAGTGGACCAGTATAATTGAATTGCCCTATTTAAAAGCCAGTCAAAGACTACACTGCTAAAGTCTGTCTGATAAATAAACATCAGAATTTTATTTGCTACTTGTTTTTAGTCTGTGCACTATATTATCAGTGTGTAGCTGCTTGTATGTTTATGACCAACTTACGCATTATTTTTAATGGGTTTTTTGGTGCTTTTGAACATCTGTCAATACCCTAATTTAACTCTGAGTTTTTGGTTTTTACAATCTGTAACATTCTATAATAACATCCAAAGTAATGTAACTTTGTAAACCTAAATTTATATAATCACTCATCAAGTTGGGAGGAGATGTTTCTGAAGAATATTTGCTTCCTATAAAACTATAGGCTTGGGCTGGGGAGATGGTTCAGTCAGTAAAGTGCCAACTGTACGCTCATAAGGACCAGTTAAAAGTCACAGGATTGTAATGCCAGCCCTAGGAAATTAGGTCAGACAGATCCTAGAGTCCATTGGCTAGCCAGCCTAACAGATCTGTGAGTCCTGTGTCAGGGAAAGATCCTGTCTCAGAAAATTAGGCAACAATTGAGGAAGACATCTAGCTCCAACACAGACATGTACATATGTACATGTGTGTACATACATACAGATACACATATACATACCATTCATACATAAATAGCCCTACAGATAACAAGTCTTTATAGTTGGTGCCTCACTATCTGGATGTTAGGGGTTTGTTTTTAGTTTTGTTTTGAGACTGTCCTATAGCCCAAGCTGGCCTCAAACTCATTGTATAGCTAAGGACAACCTTGAAATTCTGAGCCTACTACCCAGATTAGGATTGTGCAGTGCTGAGAATCAAACCCAGGGCTCTGCAGGTTAGGCAAGCATTCTACCAACTGAGCCACATCCCCAGCCCTGTATTTTTATAGACTACAGATTTTTCTGTTGAGCAACCAAGGGCAACCTTTAACCACTTCTCCAATGAGTACCGGAAATAGCAATACAAAGTGTCCATTGCTGCAGTACATATTCATTTGTAGGTGTGGATAAAAAGGACATTATCTAAACCTTACTAATACGCTGAACTAGAATTATGAGGAAGGTAGATTACAGTGAATAATGGGGCAGGCGGGGCAGGCAGAACAGGAAAATTAGACAAGACTTTGAACTTTAATTTTGATTAACTTGGAAACAATGATATAAAGTTTGTTTTGACTGGACCCCATTAGGCCTAAAAATGAATTTATATGAATAATCCATAAATACATTTCTGTTGTAAAAGAATGCAAATATACAGAAATATATGGAATAAACATTTTCTCCCTTCATTACTGAGAATACCTGTGTTTGACCATTCTTTCAATGTTGGTATGGGATAATAGTGAAGTAGTTTTCTGTTTAAGGGTAGGTTAAATTTTTCTTTTTTTTTAATTGCAGATACTTAGAAACAAAGAATTTACTGGCTTAAAATTGTTCTACAGAGCCGGGTGAGCCGGGCGAGCCGGGCGGTGGTGGCACACACCTTTAGTCCCAGCACTCGGGAGGCAGAGGCAGGTGGATCTCTGAGAGTTCCCTGGTCTACAAGCGCTAGTTCCAGGACAGCCTTCAAAGCCACAGAGAAACCCTGTCTTGTGTTGGTGTTTTGGGGGGGGGGGGGGTTGTTCTAGAGAAAATTAAGAAGCCAGCCTGGTCTGGGACAGCTAGAGCTTTTACACAGAGAAACCCTGTCTCAAAAAAACAAAAAGAAAATTTAAGTTGCTAGCTAATGACAGTGGGTATTATTAATAAGTTGGTGTTTTTCATGCAAATGGAATTTGAAAATACAAATTCAGATATTAAACTTATGTAGCAATAGGAAAGCCTTTATGCAAAGGGTGGTGGTGGTGGTGGTGGTGTACACCTTTAATCCGAGCACTTGAAAGGCAGAAACAGGTGGATCTCTGAGTTTGAGGCCAAAGTGGTCTACAGAGTGAGTTCCAGGACAGCAAAGGATACACAGAGAAAGTCTGTCTTGAAAAAAACAAAATAAATATATTAAGGGAAATAAGATTAATTTTAGGGAGGACAACCTGGTTAAAGTACAGGAAAGAACATCATCCTTTTTTCAATATTTTGAAATAGCACTTTCCACCACAGCCAGCAGAGTAACAATTCGTGAGAAGCAAGAAGATAGTTTGGTTCAACATGACGCAGTAGCTGATGTAGGTTCAGATTTGGAAGTCTGGCAGTGAGCAGTTATTTTAGGCATATTTATGGACAACACAATTTGGTGAAAAATGTCCTGGTGATAATTAACCCTGTGTGCACAATACATAGAAACTCTTTGTAAAGAACATGTGACATAATGGTCCTCAAGATAAGGGTCCTCAAGAGAGGATCCAGTGTGGTCCCAGCCACAGGGCAGAAAGGTCACCAGGCTGTTAGCCAGTCTTGTGGGCAGGTTAGCAGGCTGTGCGCCCCTCCTTGTGGTGAGCTTTGGGTTTTTACATACTAACAGAATTGCAATGTCTGAGATAGGTCAGTGGATAAAAGATAAGTTTGAATCCCCAGCATCCACAAAAAAGCCAGGAGGGTGTGGTGGTTTATTGTGTTCTTTAGAGTGACAAAGAATGGAACTCCAGGCAAGCTAGCAGGTCAGTGTAGCATGAGTCAGATGTTGGGGTTCAAACTGAAGATCAGAGGAGCTAAGCAGCCAAGCCACCAGAGAGCTCTTACCACAAATGCTCAGACCAAAGGGGTGATCCTGTCCTCAGAATGACTTCTAGACTGCACTGTTCCTCAGCATCTCCCTCTTGTCTCCTCCTCCTCATACTCTCTCGCCATCTCCTTAGTGCTGGGATTAAAGGCATGTCACCTCCAGTGCTGGGATCACTTTTGTGTGAGCTCTATTTCTTTTAGACTGGATCAATTTTGTGTAGCAGAGGGTGGCCTTGAACTAACAGATCTGTCTGCCTGTTTCCCAAGTGCTGGTATTAAAGGTGTGTGCCACCACTGCCTGGCCTCTATGGTTGACTAGTGTAGCTGCTTTGCACTCTGATCTTCAGGCAAGCTTTATTTGTTAGATCATAAGCCACCTGGTTCAGCACGAGATCCTTAGTAATTTTTGGAAAAGGATTGTGAAATACACTGATGTCAACTTCTTGCCTCTGTATGCAGGCACACATAAGTTTCCTTTTAATTAGTCTGCCCCTTTATTTATTGTAGGTCTGCACTAGGCTGTGTATTGTCTGTTACTACTCATGAAACTTCTGGAACTTTCTGTCAATACCATTTCTTCCCAAGCCTCAACACCTCCTTCCTTTCCAGTTTGCACAGAGCCTCAGTGATCAGCCATAAATAATCCAAAACAGTTATATTTCCTGTCTTTCTTGCTACAGTGACAGTTCTATGTGACAGTTCTGACTGGCAAGCTGAGAGCTGTAGTCACCTGGGATATTTCTGGAAAACCTTTTGCTTTCCTTCAAAGTATATCCGTATTTTGTCTTGTGGATATGATGCATGGAGCAGTTTTGTGGCCACAGAAAAGGGAAATGCCAAGGAAACTTTATGCATGCCCCCCTAACAACAGACATCTCCATGCTAGTAGACACTTACTGTTTGTCAGCATGAAGTGAGGTGACCCCTGTTTGATACCAACTTTAAGTGACTCCCCCTCTTACCCCATTTCAAAACCCTGGGACCTGTGCCTGTATTTTCCCTACTTTTAATGCAAATGTCAGTCCTGGGTCCAAACCTTACATGTTTCTGCAGATCATGAAACTGCTGACCACTGGCCCCATTCATTCCTTATAGAGAAGCCTTTGGTTGGAGAACTTTAGCTAGACCCTGTGTGAAACTTCAGGGGCTGAATTTTGAACACAAAATTTTACAAACACCAGACTTCACTTCTCACCTTTTATCTCAGCCATTTCAGGAACAGTTTAGCAAGGGATGCAACCAGCTACAACGAAGTCTTGCTTCCCGCCCTCTGGCTTCTCTACTAATCTGGGCAGTCCCACTGACATACAACTGAAAGGGAAATGCTCCTCACCACTTCAAAGTTCTGGAGAGCTCAGTCAACTCATCCTGAAGTCCCACATAGTGGGGCTGAAGAGATAGCTCAGTGACTAAGAGTGAAAAGCCACATGAAAACCAACTATTGTAGATGCTTCCTAAAATATACACATGTGAAAGGAATTAAAATGGAATTATCTTATAATGCCCCAACCAGACATGTCGCCAAGCAAAACCTCCAGTGGCAGGAAAACAGCTTTTTAGCTCTTGGCCAAAGGGGTCTCGTAGACACCCCTCCCAAACCTCACAGGCCAAGACTATTTGCCACTCTCCACCTGAGGAAAAAACCTAAGGCTCTATTGCTGAGGACACTAACTATGTCATCTTGAAGAGACACAATACTGACAAGAAGAAACTGAACTGATGCCCAACTAGAAGCTCCACCTAGTGACTAGTGTTGTGGGTGCTGAAAGGTGATAGGTACTCTGCATTGCCAGAGGAGAAAGGAGTAGTATCACCCAACGGCAAGCATGGCGACCCCCAATAGGACCTGCAAGATGGACTGGTGCAGCAGTGGCACAAATGTCATGGGAGTGAGCATTTTTTTAAAATCTCATTGTGTGTGCATTAACACGTGAAGTCAAAGGACAGCTCTGTGCAGCTCTTTTCCTTCCACCATGCAGGTCACAGGTGTTAAGCACTGGCCACCTGTCTTCTGTACCTAAGCCATCTACAAAGCATCAACCACATTTCAGTTAGATTTAAGGCCCAATCCATACCTGGCACTGCAAAAGTAACCAAGAACCTGAGACTAATCAAGAACCAAGACTATACTAAGCCATGGTATAGGGAAAAACATGTTTTTCCAAGATAACTCCTGATGACATATTGTTATACTCCTAGAGCACTACTGTATTGCTCAACCCCTCATCAGAGCAGCTCTTTTCAATGGATGATAATTAACAGGGACCCACAACTGGTCAGTGTGCAGAGTGGAAGACTTCAGAGCACTCAATCCTAAATGATATGACATTAAAACACTTCCCTAAAGGCTCTGCAATCTACACAGAATTTAAGAGCTGGTGGTGGTAGACGACTCCCAAGAAACGGTCTTCCAGATACAAAAGGCTTGAAACACATGAACTCAGGGACTGGTTCAGGCACAGGTTCAAACCAAAGTCCCATCACTGAAAGGGGGAGGCAGCCATTAACCAGGAAGCTATTTGCAATTGAACCACATTGGGAAAGGGAAAATCAGTCCTTTTTCTCCAATAAGAGTGCCACTGGGTATATCAACCACATGCCCAGTAGTTAGGCCCAAACAAAATGCATTCCTTTTAGCAGGCACATTTTAGTTATTGGAGTTTTTGATTTTTGTTTCATTTTTGGGAGAAAGAACTCGGGTGAGTAGGGAGGATCTGGCTAACATTGGGGGACTGGAAAAATACGACCAAAATATATTGTACAGAGCTCCCTTCTGAGTGCCCATGTCAGGTTGCTCTGCCAAAGGGCACCTGCATTTTTACGCACAAGCTCATAATCTTAAAAAAAAAAAAAAGTTCACACACAAAAAAAGGCCTCACACACCTCCCTGACTGACCCTAGATCAGTTTCCATTAAGTCTTTGCATCTGAATGAGAAGTGTTTTGAGAGTTCTGCTGAAAAAATCAGTATGAACTCTCCTGAGGAAGAGTGTAACTCTAGCAAGCACTGACATCACTGCCATGGTAGTATTCTTAGCTAATTAATGAAGAACATGCACGAAAGAAACATGTTTTTCAGAGACAGGGACATAATTCACAGGTAGAATGCTTGCCTAAAATATATACAGCCTGTACCTCAATTCCTAGGACAGCAAAAAAGAAAGCAGCTTTCAAAATATTTGAGTTTATCTGGTAACCTTGTTTGTTTCCAATTTGTTCAGTCCTCCTTCAGGAAACATACTACTGACTTGGGTGGAGGCGGGGTAGGGGGCACAAGATGAAAACCCTACAGAGGTCCATTAACCTCTGAATGTCTAGGTATTCTGCATCCTGCTTCAAGGTGCTGAAAGAGGTAGCATTCCCTGTAAAACCATTCACAATGAGGTTAAGTACGATCCCACCACTTACTAGCTCCATAACTTGGTCAAAGCTTTGCAATGCATAAACAGCTCCTATCCCATAGGTACAAATGCCACTTTCAGTTGTCCCTACTGTGATTATCTTCCAGCATGAAAAATACATGGAAACCATGTCATTTTCAAGAGTTTACTAAGATTTATCCTCAGATTTACACGTGATATATTGGGTTACCCAACAACCAAAGAACCCCAAGCAGAATCGACAGACAGAATTTAATATATGCACACGGTTGTATATAATGCAGCATCACACCATGTAGGGCATTGACTTGTTTTATACATTCAGATCGTTTGAAACACTTCTTAAGGCTACGAAACAGAACATAGAAAAATAAACAGCAATATATTCAACACTTACAAAAGTGGTATGATAAAGAATATAAAGTACTATTCCTTTCAACACTTCAAAAGATATGTATAGATATGTATATATGTTTTTACAGGTAACATCACAAATGATCACATCTTCACATGCTTATTAATTATTATTGTACTCAGTGTAAGGCTAGGATCATTTTTTTCATACATAAATTTTTTTTCTAGCTTTGTAACAATGCAATTTTTAAACCATTCAAGTAAATTCAACCCCAAAGCTGCTGCTTCTCAGCATTAAGACATGCACCCACCCCTCTTACAGGATTTTCTAAAACTTGTAACTTTAGGGAAAGGGAAACTTTAAAAAAGAAAAAGTTCCAATTAGTGGGAGAGCCAATGGCAGTAAAATCTTACCCTTTCAAATTAACACTCAAGTGAGCCATTATGAAAATTTTTAAAAAGCAATTAGACAAAATCGGGAGCAAAACACAGTAAACAGAAATACAGCTTTCTCTTCAGCTACACTAGAATGGATCTTGCTAAGTACCCTAAGGGAAAGAAAAACTTCACCTCATCTAAAACTGAAGGTAAAATAAATGAGGCAAAATAAATATTGCTAGTTTCCAGGATGGCTGAGTATTTTCTAAACCAGAAATGTTTAGAAAGGAACTGTATTGCACCAAGTCAATCACAAGCCAGTTTGCAGTTCACAGGCATTTTAGTTCACCCTTGGGCCAAAGGAAACACTACAAAGAATGGTTTGCAGCACATAAACTATCTCAGCACTGTGGATATGGGAAACCTACTTCGGTCAGCTTGTGGCAGGTATTAACTTGGTCCTGCCATGAAACAGACTTAGAGAAAACATGAAGGCTGCCAAGGAGTGCATGGGGCAAGAATGGAAGATGTGCCTTGAGAGGAAAAAACTTGAAGAGACACAATACTGACAGGAAGAGGCTGGGGTCTAGTCCAACTGAAGCACCTAAACTAAAACAGATGAGCTTTGGTCAGCAGAAACATTTGTTCAAAATGTATCCCACCATAAGGTTTCATCATTTCCCAATTACAATACAAAATGACTTTCAGCTGTCATCTTTCTCTTTCTTTGCTTTGTGTAGAAAATGGCCAAACCTCAGCATAAGGCAAAATCCCCTGGATGAATACACTTAAAAACAAACCTAAAGAAAACTGACCTTCATACAAAGATTAATCATTTTAAAACTACTAAAATCCAAGTTGTATTCCAGAGGTCACACAGAATACCACAGGCTATAATTCTTTCATCACTGACCCAATTCTTTCATCATGTCCCAGAGGTCAGGTAAGGAAATGGAATCTTGTCCATCAGTTTCCCTCAGGAGCTACAAAGGGCTGTTCTTCACTACTAGGGTGAGACAGAGTGGCTGTATTGAAACCAAGCAGTCCTCTTTCCGGTCCAATTTTGAGACACTTCCCCAGTCAGAGAAAGACAAAAGCCATTGTCTTTTGGACTGCTGAGACCAAACATAAACTTTTAAATCTAGTTCATTATATCAAAAGGTGATTTTCAAATTAAAACTACAAGATAAAGCCAATTCTACATAAAAACCAAGGACTAAGAGAAGGTCCTCTAAAGTTCTTACTCCATAATTCAGCCACCGATACTGAACCACTGGCAAAACCTTTACAACCATTCTAGCTTAGAAGCAGACAATAAACTCCTATCAATAGGTTCTCAATTTTTCTACACATCCCAGGCCACACATTTTTTACCTAGCACCATCATTAATAAAATGTTATCTTTCAAAGTGCTCTCTAAAATCCTATGTTACAAAATTCCTAAATGCTAATCACTACTCAAATCAGCAGTTACACAGACATGAGGGTAATTAAAACAGCACAAAGGTAAAATCCCATCATTACAGTACATCGGAGCTTCACTGAGCCTAGCCGACAGCCAAACATTCCCAAAAGATATCAGAGGACCCAGAAACCTGTCTGCTTCTGTTTGTCATATTCAAGTTAATTGCTTTTAAGTAATCTGCCCCCTAAAACAAAAGCCACATCTATTTCTGGTTAGATATTTAACACACAACATGCAAAGAAAATCACCACCATACTACTAATTGCATAGCACTCAAGCTGCCTGATCACAAGGTAATTGCAACATTAAAAAAAAAAGGTAGATTTTCACATTGATATATACAAATAAGGAATACAAAGTACAGTTAGTTTTACACAGTAACACAGATGAACGAATACTGTGTTAACTGTCTGAGTCCAATCTCTACATGAGAACAGAATGCCACATGCAAGGGAGCCGTCTAGTGAATACTGCAGACTGGAAGAAGCAGATCAGACACACACTGATGGGTAAGAGCTACAAAATGCAAAGCAAAACCACCCTCTAGCAGCATCCTCTAGAAGAACTAGAAGTCACAATCACGTTCTTTTTATACAGTAATTCCAGCTAAGACAAGTTGAACATGCAACTGTAAAGTGATGAACATAACCAATGGTGCAGGGAGAAAAACAACACTTTAAGAGAAACCTATCAAGTTAAAAATTTTAACATTTCTCACAAAATATTTAGAATCTGTCAGTGCATTAGTGTTAAAGTGGCATTAAAAAAACCTCTGCAGTTTTAACAGATGCAGATTATTCTCAAAATGCATAGCATCTACATTCCTTTCCAGTAGGCACCATGATATTTACAGCAGTGCTAAGAGTTCTTGATGGGAACAGCCGTCTCACCGGACTTCCTACTATTTCTTAAACATCTATTGTATGCAATCTCAAGTTCAACACTCACCAAAATTCAAAAATATACCCTATGGATATTAAAAGAACTATATACAACAATTCTGAGACACAGGTTAATAGGCTGCCTCGTGTGTAATAGTAGAGAGAAGACATTATTCAAGTTTGACAGATACTGAGATGAAAGGCCTTTGGGTTGGAAGCATATTAAAAGACAACAGTGTTTTAGGCTGAGAACTGTTTGAGCCCAGTTTATGACTAAGGCATTGCATAATAAAATATACATTTCTATTTGGTGCAATGTTATGTTTTGGAATCTATAGTGTGTTGAATGCTTTACTTTCTTGTCACTTTAGTAAACACTAAAAAGCACACATTTCCAATGTTTAAAATCAAACTTACACGAGAAAAAAAAAATCAAACACTAAGTCTATGTTTTATATTGAGCTGTTTATAAAAAAATACTTGAAGTCATGTTTACTTTTTATGGGGGCAGTAACCCAATAAACAGACTCAGAGTAAGAAAAACCACAATGCCAAAAATTCATCTGCCCCTTGAACTCATATCCAAAGTCTCATCCAGAATAGGAATTAAGTAAGGGTAAAGGGGGAGGGGAGAAGATAGTTCCAATTTGGGTTTTTATTTTAATGTTTGTAAAGCCTTCAGAAATACACCTAAGAAAAGGCTTCAGTTCTACAATATGAGCAACAACTAACCATTAAGGGTGTTGTCCCCTATGACCATCTCCCATCCCTGATCTCCTCCTATCTCCCCTATATGGGCGTCCTCTAACATTTCGATGGTACTGAAAACCTTCATCCCGACTTCTGTTAGGCTGCCCTTTCCAGGACTCCTCGCCTCTCACATGTTGATAGCCACCTCTACCAGAAGAACCCCAGTCACTTTTGTATTTCCTGTTTCCGTAAGTTTGATTATAAAACTGCTTGGGTCTGCCACTTTTCAGTATATTAGATACTTCATTCTCATCTTCTGAACTCTCTTCTTTTGGTCTTTGCAATCTATCCACAGAGTTGACCCCAGGGCCAACCACATCAGCAGCAGTCTTGGGATCTTTTACTTTCTCTGGTTTTTCTTTCAGGCTCTGGATGGTCCTCTTAGGCTCAAGTTCAGCAGACCCAGTTTCTCTCTCTCTGTTTAGAATCTGAGTGGGAGGATGAGCTTTTCCCTCTACTCCAGGAGAGCCTGAAGCCAAAGCTATGTCTGTCTTTCGTGTCTGGGATGACTGCTCCACTCGGCCTTCATGCTTGCTGCTAACACTTGCTTCAGAGAGAGAATGTACACCTTCAACTCTGGCTTCTGGAAACTCACCCACTGCTGAGACAGAGTCGCATTCCTTAGACAGATCTAGATTCTCCAAGGGCAAATCCAGTTCCCCTTTATCATCAGAGGGCAAGACAATATTTTGCCTCATTACAGGATTTTCCACAAACCCCTGAAAAGGATAGCCATACCAAACATGAGGAAAGAAAGGAGGTGCGATGGGAACTGGACCTAAGAATGGGTTAGGTCCAAAGGACGGTTGTGGGTACATGTTCTTGCCACTTAGTGACTCTTCATATTCAGCATGAAGAAGCTGCCCAGCATTCTCAGACTCAAGTTCAGGTTGATAAGACAACTGTCCATGACCTTCAGACACCTGAGATGGGGGGATAACCAGAGGTGAAGAGAATGCAGGAGGTCCCATCTCTGCCTGTGGCATCTGTCCATTAACACTGGCCTCAGGGTGCATAGAGTAGTGGGCATCAGTACAAGGACAGTCACTTTCACTCTGACCAGGAGGGGCTTCTTGGAACCAAGTATTCTGAGGATACACAGGAACAGGGACCTTTGGGTACATCCTACAGGCTGCCATGTAGGCCTGGTGCAGAGGATACAGGTAAGAATGTGGGGCCCACATAGGACAACTATATGCCTGAAAGACACAAAAATAGCAAAATAAATTTAAAGGTCAAAGAGCTGTCTTTCTGAAAGTGAAGTCTCTCATGACAGTAACAGTCCAAATACAAGACGATTCGTGGCATGCAACAAGAAAAGAACTAGAATCAAGTCACTGCATGACCTTGTTCCCTGGGTTCTGACCTGACACAGGTTCATAGGAAGCATTATCCCAGCCACTGGGAGTTTAGTTAGACCCACTCAGATCCTGACTCGAGCCTGCCAGGAAAATGCTCTATCTAGGAGCTCTCAAATTACTCCAATAAGCCAAGGATTAACAAATCAGATCTCTTAACAAAGGACAAAGATGAAAAGGAAATACTTAATTTCTTCCTCTGTTGGCATTTAACTAAAAAACCAAATTATGAAGAAAATACAATTAGATGACAATAGAAATCCAGGCAATGAATACAGCCCACAGATTTATGAAGCTGGCTACTGGACTTAGGCACTTGATAGTTCATGTTCACAGAACTGACAGAAAAGAATTCAAGTCAAAGACAGCAAAGCACTGACATGGGCACTGAGTTCTGCAGAGTCTTTTTGCTATGCTAGTGAGCAATGCTCCCACCTTACAGAGTAATGCTTTCAATATGTTCTCAATGGAGGCAGCTTTGCATATACATCAGAGGCTTCAGAGACAGCTACTGGTTTGCAAAGGATGACAGACCTAAATTTGCTAAAGCAGAACTTCAAACTAAGAGCTTTCATCTAACTCTCTGTCAAGGACATTCCCATGAGCAGTCCAGGAAACTGGTTTGCCCCTTCATATATTCTGAAGCCAAGCCATCAGTATTAAAAGAAAACAGCAAGCAAAAACTAGATCCTGTCCCATAAGCAAACATGAAAGGTAGCATTTAGTAATTAAGAGTTAAATATTTTAAATTTTACTATTTAGATAGTGACAAGAAAATTAACTTTAAAAGGAAAAAACGTAAATACCTTCACACCAAGATTGAAGAAGAATCGAAGAATGTTCTTATCTGCAAATGAAACATTTTATATTAAAATACATAGTCAATGCTTTTCTTACCTTCACCAATCATTATAGTTCTCAAGACAAATTTTCCTACCAGACTGCCTGCACAGTAAAACAAAAAAATGGAAGCAAAACCAAAATCCAGGCTGTCACTAGAGAGTAACTCCCGGTTTGCTACACTTCTCTGCATTAATATCTAAGTCTCTGAAGCCGGAGGCCAGCCTAGTCTACAGAGTTCAGAACAGGATCCAAAGCTACCAACAAACTGTCTCTGCCTCCACACACACAAAAAGATCTAAGTCCTTGAATAGCTTAAACTTTATTATGTGTGTTTTCAAAAATTCCAAAATACGAGAGCTGGAGATATGGCTCAGTGGTTAAAGAACACTGGCTACTCTTCTTCCAGAGGTCCTGAGTTCAATGCCCAGCAACCACACGGTGGCTCACAACCACCCATATATAATGAGACCTGGTGCCCTCTTCTAGCCTGCAGGAATACGTACAGGCAAAACACTGTATATATAATAAATTTTTTTAAAAATTATAAAATGCAAACATTGGAGAATAGTAAGATTTTCATAAACCAATTCAGGTATTGGTAATACATACTTATAACCCAGAACCCAGGAGAAAATGAAGCAGAATACAAGTTCCAGGCTAGCCTGGGCAACACAGTGGGCACAACCTACAAAATAAATAAAAGCCTGGAAATGATTTCAAAGCTGTCGAGGTTATTTATGGAAAGGAAAAGAACAAAAAACAAACCAAACAAGAGAGGCTTCATTAAGCACAAAACTCATTTTCTACTAAGACCAAGCTAAAACAGGCCTGAACGATCACATGAACTGTAGTTAACCACCAAACCTCTCTTCTCTACTCTTTGCTGAATGAGCCCCTTCTACAGCTTAGTAGGAGCCAGACCTCTGGCTTCTACGTGTATCTTTCCATTTCTCATTAAATCTGTTTGTGCTTAAGGAAAACAGCACTATGAAACTGGAGAAGGCCTCACCTTTAGGCAGGTCCTCGCCGGTCTGACACAGTGAATAAGGTGGTGCAATGGCTCGATCTCCCTTCTCACTACAAGGAAACCCAGGATAGAGTGGGTCTTGATAAAGGCTCATTGTCTGAGGCAAAGGCATCAAGGGCTGATTAACTGCCTGAATCGACACAGGAACTGGAGAGGGTGTTAAATGCGCTTGTGACACAGCAGCATCAGGTCCAGTGGTCTGTGTCACTGACAAAATGGGAATCTGAGCAGGGACACCTAAGAAAAACAAAAAGAAACAAAAATGATTTAAAAACAAAATGAAAAAGTCTAAGTCATTTTCATTTAGAAACAAAGTTTGCATTAAATTCATACTGCACAACTTAGATGCCTTGTAAAGCACCGAAGTACTTCGGTGACAATCCAGGAAATAAGCTCAGTCAATGTCTTCCAATCACAGTTCCAAAAAGACCATTTAATGAACGGGTCCTTGTAAAGAGTCCTAAAGGAGATGTAACAGTGTAGCCTATGCAGCAAACATAAACGGTTGCCAACAATTGGTAATTGGCTCACATGTCACATCCCCAAGATTATAAAAGTGTACCCCAATGAACACCATGCACATTTATGCACTTGCCCTCCAGAACTAAGCGAGAAGCCCTAATAGGCTCCACATTCATAATTCTGCTGTGGTCAAGCAGAACTGGAAGCCTGTGATTTGAAAAGAATTTTTGTTAACTGGTCAGAAATTTTTAAAAAATTCTTCTCTAACCTGTTGGTCCAAAAGTTGTAGGTTCACTTGGCCAGGCTGGCACAGTGGCTGGTAAAGAAGGCACCGCAGGAGTGAGATGTACTTCTGGAGATACTAGAAGGGGAGCTGGATTTGACAAAGATACATGTTCTGCTGGCTTCTTTAAGAATGGGAAGGGGGGGGGGGGAAGGAAAGAAGGAAAAAAAAATCATTTGGCTTTGACATAAATTTATCTTTAGGGAAGTCTAAGAGGTCCTACTATAAAGCTAAGTATTTAACTGTTCACATCAGTCTCAGAGTTCACTCACTGGCAAAGAACACCACATATAACAAGGTTGCTAGTGTGAATCACAGGCAGAAACAACAAACTGAAGGCAAGTGAACAAAATCACAGAAATCCCCTTTAAAGTCCTAGATTTTTTTTAAAGATTCTTACCCAAAATTAAAAAAAATAAAACGTGTTTAGGTATATTCATTTTAAGGACACAAAGTATGTTGAGAGAACAACAAGTAACAGTCTATTCTTACTTAGAACCAAAATGTCTGCATAAACTGAAGTGTATGCATTTACTTGGTAAACTACTGGTATTTTTTTTAAATGTATATGGAATAATTGATTGGTAATGATGCAGATAACATCTAGAAATATTATTAACATAGTAGGAATTTTATCTTCTTTGTAATTTTCAAAAATAGCAAGAGGTACCAAACATAAAAGCTACCAAATATAAACTTACTTAAAATCGAGTCACAGGAATGTCAGGGAATGGCTATAAAATGACATTCCATCAACTTCTATAACATTTTTAACTAAACAGAATAAATTTAAAGCACCCATATCACGTCAGATATGAATTTTTCCATTTACAACAAAGATGTTTTCACTTATAGTGAAAAAGTCCAGAGAGAAAGGAGCCTGATGCCTTGTACAATAACTTACTTGTTCTACAGGAGATGGGCACTCTGTTGTCTTTGACTTAGATGGTGATGAAACTCTTGTACATTTATCATCGCTGATCTTTGGGAGCAAGAAAAAGTCACACTGTGACTAAGAGAATTCCATCCTGGGTAACAGTGGTTGCCTTTCAAATTGTCTCAGAGAAGCTGCTCTGAGAACCCATGCCCACTTAATCTGGCCTGCACATGCGTTTAATGTCATGTTACTAGGGTGCTTTTATATGGGAACTTGTAAAACATAGCAGTCTCCTTTACAAACATCATTCTATAGAGTGATAAAGAATAAATACTGAGGCCTGGTGTGGTGGTACACGCCTTTAATGCCAGCACCCAGGAAGGAGGTGGATCTCTGTGAATTTGAGGCCAGCCTGATCTATAGCTTGAGTTTCAGGATAGCTAGAAACAAAAAACTTTTGGTGGGGTGGCTCATCAGCTAAAGTAAAGGCCATTAACTCTCGTGCCTTGAGCTGGATCCCTGGGATTAACTAACAAAGGCTAAACATAGGAGGAGAGGAGTGACTCCTATAAGCTGCCCTCTGCTCTCCCCACAGATAGCATGGTGTGCACAGATGCATGCATGCACATCAAATAGATAAATGACTTACATATATTTAAAACCTTTTAGCTCACCAGGTGATGGTGGCACATGCCTTTAATCCCAGCATTTGGGAGGGGGAGGCAGGTGGATCCCTATGAGTTTAAGGCCAGTCTGGTCTACAAACCAAGTTCCAGATTGTCCAGATTGTTACACAAAGAAACCCTGTCTCAACAAAATCAAAACAAATAAATAAATAAATGGATGAATGAATGGATGAATGAGAGAATAAATATGTAAATTCTTTACCTCCAGTATGCTTGGCTCTGTTTTTTTGTCCACATGAGTATGGCCACGTAGGGAATCTGTGACAGATTAAGAATAAGAAAGGGAGCATCAACCATCAGTCTGATTTAAATACAGAAAAACAATCATTATCTTAGCTCAAGTCAGTGTTTCTCTCCAATGTCAGATATGTGACACTAGATAGACAGGTTGACAATTCACAGTGTCTTTTCCCAATACAGCAACCTCTTCTTATCCATAGCAGATACAGTCCTCCAGCAGACATCTGAAACTGTGAATGATAACTTATCTTATACTTACTTTGGTGTATTTGTACAGTCAGCAGAAACAAATATTGAAGTGAAATAGAATTACAACTATTCTGTAATAGAAGTTGAAGGGGAATTTCCTTCCATGTATGTTTATGTTATTGGTTGTTGAATAAAGTACTGTTGGTCAATGAAGAAGCAAGTTAGGCAGGACTAGGAAAGGAGGATGATTCTGGGAATCAAGGAAGGAGTCATTGTCACCATGTGAGCCCGGGAAGACAGGACTCTTGCCACTGGTGTCCTCTAAGATAAGCCTTTTAAAATATATAGATTATGGTTAAGGTTGATAATTAAGACTGAGCTAACGAATAAGAAATCCTAGTCATTTGCCAGCAGCATTGTAAACTAATATAAATCTCTGTGTGTTATTTGGGACCTTAACGTCGCAGCCGGTGGAACTCGGGTGGCTGATGGAAAGCACCCATGTGGCAGGGCAGGGCTCAAGCGGCTTGCAGTAAAGACGTATCATTACAAGAAGTTATGTGAGTGTAATCTCTTCCAAAGGCCTTCTACTCCCACCTTTTCATTTAAAGTATGCTGACTTCTCTTGGGCATACTCAAGATGGCAGCATCACTGGAACACAAGCACGACTACACCCAGTCAAAGTGATAGTCAAGACATCTACTAAGTTATTATGCAGGCAGCATATACAGTATGGAAACACCAGCCATTTACATGTGAACAGGAAGCATCAGTGTATCACAAGACATCATGCTACTCAAAAAACAGCATTCAATTGGACTCTTAGGAAGTATTTTTGGAATCCTCCACTTAGGATTTCCAAACCTAAAATACCTAAAAACAATACCTAAACAGCAAAAAAAACAAAAACAAAAACAAAAACAAAACCACAAGCAAGGCAAAACAGGCAGAGATGTCAGACATCTTCAGTGAAGTGGAGTACCTTTGTCCTTCCGCTCTTCTGCGTCTGCTCTCCGCATGCCTCCTTTCCTATCCCTTGCATGTGAAGACTTCCTCTGCACAGATGAGTTGCTACTCTGAGGTGACTGACTGACTGATGGGCTCTTTAAAATAAAGTCACACTTGGCATTAAAATTTTACAAACATGAAAATAAATTATACAAATAACATTCAGACTTTTTACCAAAAACCTCAAAATTCATAGCCTTAAATTTTTATATTTTAGAATCTACTTAATAGGTATAGTTATGGATATCATCTACAGTCCATTATTTAACTATCTGATCTAAACTAACAGTCTATTACCAAACAAAGTATCAGGTAATCAGACTTTCAGCCTAAATTAATACTTTACATTTCATTTTAAGAAAACACACTGAACAAAATGTCATCTTACAACATTCTTTGCACAAAAAGTATTACCTTCTCTACCAACCCTCCCAAGCTCCCTTTTGAAGGGAAAAATATCAATTAGCAGGTATCACTGAAATGACAGTCAAGAGCAAACCACCAGAGCAAACCACCTGAGCTCTCAATGACCCAACCATATCACTGGTAAAAAAGAGATCAGAATAAGTTGTTGGATTCAGTTTTTTTGTTTGCTTGTTTGGTAGGTTGATTTGGTTTTTGTTTGTTGTTTCTTTTTTTTCCCAAGACAGGGTTTCTCTGAGTAGCCCTTGCTGTCCTGGAACTCACTTTGTAGACCAGGCTGACCTCAAACACACAAGATCCCCCTGTCTCTGACTCCCAAGTGATAAAGGTATGCACCACCACTAGCCAGATAAAGTTGGATTTTTAAGAAAATTATCACTGAAAGTTCTAGATTCTTGTAACAGCATTCTTAATGGATCAAAACAGGAAGGGGGGTTCAGTGTTCTATTCCAGTTTTTAGTAAACAAATCTAAGCCACTATCAAATCCAGTACCAGACAAATCTAAATCTAAAGTCTGGAAGTATGAGAACCAAATTTTAACAATAAAATTTCACAATCTATGATCACATAATAGTAGCACTATTTTTGCCATTTGAGGATAGGATTAAAATCAGTCTCACAAAGAAGCTGTGTGAGAACAAATAAGGCATGAAGGGAATGTCTTTAGCACACAAATAGTGCCTACCATGCAGGCATACCTGACTTGGGTACATTTTGCAACTCTCCCTAAACTCCAGACTGAACTAGTCCAGATAAGCTCTTTGAAATGGAGCTTCTCTCTCAGAAGACAGAAGAGTTAACATGTGCAGCTTGGATCTTGTCCCTGACACAGTGCAGCCTACAACAGCATTCCTCCTTGTTGTTTCATTCACGGTGACCAAGACTTAAAGACCACAAGTACAGGGCTCTTATGATCATCAATTAAGACCTCCAACATGACAATGGCTTTCCTTTCTGATTGTCCCCCAAAGTTAAGGAAACTGAAGGCAGTCATTGCTTTTATCAGAAGTATCTAGTACAGCCCACGGACTGACACATGGAACAAAACAAATCCACGTGATTCTTACTTAAATCAATATGGTGGACACATCAAGTTTATGTTGAATAAACAACAGTTTCCTGGCTGTTCAGAAAACCTTACAGAAGGTCAAATCAGTCCTAAGACTCTATACTGGAGGCTCGGCTTACAAATACTAAGCCTTTCAGTCTAAAAGACAATACCACTGTCAAATGAACAAATCAGTTTACTTGCTCAACTGTCACCAATTTTTTTCAGCAATATCTCTAGACCCAGAATTAATTACAAACTACTTTTACTGTCCCTCCTTCCTTTTTTCTTGACACAGAATTTCACTATGCTGCCAAGATGGCCTTAAATTTGGGGACTATCTTCCTTCTCAAGTATATAGGATTACAAGCACATAACCACACCAAGGTCTACATAAACTTTAAAATACATTCAGTTAAAAAAAATTAAATTCAGGGCTGGAAAGATCGTTCAGCAGTTAAGAGCACTAGTTGTTCTTCCAGAGATCCCGGGTTCAATTCTCAGAATCCACATGGCAGCTCACAGCTGTCTGTGACTCCAGTTCCAAAGGATCTGACAGCTTTCACACAGGCATACATGCAGGCAGAACACCAATGCATATGAAATTAAATACATTAAGCTCATCAACAGAAATTATGATTTACTACATACAAACTGTACCAAGGACTCCTAAACATTAACCTTTAAAGTCTCTACATACTTACCGAAAGGGCAGGGAAAGCTTGCTCGTCCCGGTTCTGAATCTCATACAGTAAACGAGACTCTTCAATAGCTTGCTTCTCTCTGCGTTCTTCTGGGGAAAGGCCAAAATAGTAAGGTTCGCGACTCGTGTGATCAGAATCTTCAGCTCTTTCACGATCAGGTTTTCTGTCAAATAAAACATTCTTTCAGCAAGAAAAAAAAAGAGGCAATGTATAGAAAACAAAAATGCAATCATCTATTCAGTCGGACAAATATCCAACTAAACAACTACACCATAACACTTAGTAACTTGGGACAGCTAGCAACAAACAAAAAAACACAGCATTCAAAGGTACATTACAAAGTTAGATAAAACTTACAATGAGGCATAATAAAATGAAAGTAAAATATAACTCACTTCCGTCTACATGATACAGAAGAAATTGAGTTTTTTACCTGAGGGCAGACATATAAGCACTTAATACTATCATAAAAATTTACTCTCAAAAGAAAGGAAAGACAGACCAGCAAAGGGCTGAAGGCTTGCCACCAAGCCTGGCCATCTGAGTTCAATCCCAGAATTCTTATGAGTAAAGGAGACCAATGATGCCTACAAGTTTTCTTCTGACCTGCACATGTAGTAGCACACATGCACCCACACAAACGTTAGTTAACTAAAATGTAAAGAAAAAAATTTTAAGAGAGGAAGAGAAAGCATTCTGATCTCCTGTTCTAAAGCCAATGACCAAATGAGACACAAAGACCATCCCAATAACTGACTACAGCACCAAGAAAAGCAGAGAACTGAAAGCAACGAGGTATGTCAGACTGGGTTACTATCTGTTATTGCCACCTCAATGCAACTTTGGTCAAAAAAAGGTCATAAGAGATTCAATAACGTATTTAATAACAACTCTATATTCATACATGGCTTGCAGCCATTAAAAGCAGTATGAAGGGCTGGACATGCTTTTGGGAGTTAAGCAAAGGACTCAGGTCTGATTCCTAATAGCAACATGGCAGCTCACAATCATCTATAACTCCAATTCCAGGGAACTATAGATCTCCTCTCTCCTCAGGCACTACTTGCAGACAGACAGACAGACAGACAGACAGACAGACAGACAGACAGACAGACAGACAGACAGACAGACAGACAGACAGACAGACAGACAGACAGACAGACAGACAGACAGACAGACAGACAGACAGACAGACAGACAGACAGACAGACAGACAGACAGACAGACAGACAGACAGACAGACAGACAGACAGACAGACACTGACTGCACTTATATATATATGCAGGTAAAACACTCACACATAAAAATAAACATTTCTAAAAGAGCAGTATGGATACTATTTCTATCATTTGTATCACCTGTATAAGCAAGAAATAAAAATTCAAATTGAAACCTTAAGAAAAAGTAGTTGTCAAAGTACAAATAAATACAAACTTTCTAAATAGTGGAGTACTATGGTACCACTATTTTAGTTCTGAAATAAATCAGGTAGTCTCATAAGCAGACATTAAATCAAAAGGGCAAATGACCCTCACAATCTCAGACCACTTCTTCTGTGGTAAAAGACTGCAAAAAGGATTTGGCAAGTTGTCAGGCATCTCAAAACTTCTAACAAACTTCAGCTGAAGCATTCGATAATCAAGAAAGTAAGACCCATTCTTTCCCCAGCCATCAGTCATTGCACAATGGGCCCGTAAATGAAGTGACACGGTGACGTGACAGAGATGAGGTTTATGCATGAGCTCGACAATGAGGACTGCTCTCACAGGTGAATACCACTGCTGCTGAGTGCCAGATCTGCCAACAGCAGAGACTAACACTGAGCCCTAGATATGGCACCATTATCCAGGGTGACCAGCACTTGGCTGCAGGCTGAGAAAAACTGAACCATCTCCTCTGTGGAAAAGACAATGCTTTGTCCTTACTGGAGTAGATACTTATTCAGGTTATGGATTTGCCCTTCCTGCACAAAATGCTTCTGCCAAAATCATCATCCATGAAATTACAGAATGCCTGATCCACTGTCAGAGTATTCCACACAGTGTTGTTTCTGATCTTAGAACTCACTTTGCAGCCAGAAGTGAAACAGTGTACCCATAATCAAGGAACCCACTCACATGTTCCCCATCATTCTAAAGCAGCTATCCTCAAAGAATGATGGGTATTTTGCCTATACTCAGTGATCTAGCAAGTGTAAGAGAAGCCAGGTCAGTGCCTAAACAAAATCTTCAAGTACAATTAATGACAACTAGCTGACATATAAGAATTCCACCTGCTAAGAACCCACCATGGACCAAATGTCCCTGAATAGCAGAAATTATCTTACAATTAAATAATATTTAAAACCTGAAAGTCATAACTAACTAGATTAGTATTCTGGTTAGTTTATGTCAACTAGACACAAGCTAGAGTCATTTGGAAAGAGAGACAATCAAAAAAAAAAAAAAAAAAAAAAAAAAAAAAAAAAAAAAAACTTCCATAAGATGAGCACCAACAGATGAGTCTGTCTAGCATTTTGATGACTAGTGATTGATAGGGAAAGGCCCAGCCCAACCCAGAGAAGGTGATCCTGGATTTATAAGAAAGGCTAAGCAAGCCATGAGGAGCAAGCCAGCAACTCTGCTTTAGTTCCTGCCTTCAAGGTTCCTGCCCTGCTTTGATTTTCTGCCTTGACTTCTTTCAGTAATGGTGGTGGAGAAGGAGCTGAGAGATCTACATCTTGATCCACAGGCAACAGGAAGTAAACTGTGTCACAGGGCACAGCTTGAGCATAGGAGACCTTAAAGTCCACCCCCCACAGTGACACACTTCCTCGAACAAGGCCATTTGTACTTCAAAAAAGCCACACCTAATGCCACTCACCATGGAGGCCATTTTCTTTCAAACCACAACAGTGCATTCCCTGGCCTCCACAGGATTATAGCCAAAGGGTTGATAGAGTGAGTTTTCTGTTACTGAGACTATAGATGCTTGCCCTGCTGATGCCTGGTCAAATTACACATCTATTCAATGATGCACTCATAACATTAACAAAGTAAGGAATTTTTATCGTGTTTTTCATCAAAAGTGGAAACTTTCATATTTTAGGCCTTTCAGGCACTGGGAATACAAACACCACCCATACCCCTTTATATTTATGATTATCTGAAGATAGATGGCAAACCCATAAAGGAGAAAGAGTAAAGTGATGAATTGGGGAGGCAGCAAGACTAACTAGTCAAGCCAAGAACTTGGGAAGACAAGGATACAATACTACTGATCCAAAAATGTTATTGCATGTTTACTATCACGTCAATTTTCAGCTCGTCAACACAGAATCCAAATGCCTTTTGTCAGTGGGGATTAAAAGGCACACCTATAATAGGAGACAGCCCGATGCTGTTTTGCCATGATACAGATTTTTTTTTTAATACTTTCAGACACAGTATTTGTCTACAAATATGTAGCCAGAAGAAAGAAGGACATTTCAATTGGACTAATCTAACTGATCTGTCCAAATGCAATACAGATTTTGTGACTGTCACGTACTCTTCAGAAGGCTAATAGTGGAAATTATACTTGCATTAAGATTTAAAAAAGTAGTATCTGATTCATGGCTACTAAAGTTATTACTGTACCTACAATAGTACTATCTGTTGCCAATGATTTAGAAAATAACCAATGAATTCATTTGGCACATGGCAGTTAACAAGAACTTGTATCAGAAGAGACCCTGGGCTCTCTAAAAGATATTTAAAGCACAGGAGTTACTCATATACATTATGTACAAATTAACAGGTGACAAAGTAGAATCCACCCACAACTATATTCCTGTCAAAGTCGATTTTTGTTAAATCACACTGTTTATGTTTTAAACGTACTTATATAAATCTTTACTGCACTTTCCTGTGATTAAACAACTGCCTCTGGATTGGACCTTTTTTATCTGTTTGTTTTGTGAAAATACTACTTACACTACCCTTTCTGCAGACTATAAAGGTTTATGTTGAACAGGCCATATTACATCCATATTGCTTAGTAAATCTTTGCAACTGATCAAGAGTTAAGCGAGCTCCCCCTAAAAATTGTGGCCATTCTTTCCATCTACTGGATCCTGTAATGGTTGCAGCCACAACATCTTTTTTACTGCCATTCCCAGGAATGATTATTGGAGTACAAAAAGAAGGCTTAAAGATGGCCTGTAGGATTAGTAAAACCACTAATGTATGACAGCAAAACTATTAGCAGAAATTTATCAAGAGATGAGCAAATTGGGAAGGTTTTACAAAATATACCTACAGATTATGCTCAAGCATTATCTTGGTTAACAAAAGCACGTTGCTATAATGTGTCAGATTTTTCTCATACATTGGTCTCATACAAATGGTCAAATTAATGTTCTATATAATGAAATAAAATCTCAAGTGATCTTTGAAGGGCCATTGTGGTTTAAGGTGGCTTTACCCTTTCCTTGGTCTTCTGTGAGCTATTCTTTTTTCTTTTTTTTTTTTTCTTAAGATTTATTTATTATATATACAGTTTTCTGCCTACATGTATGTCTGCAGGCCAGAAGAGGGCACCAGATGTCATTACAGACGGTTGTGAGCCACCATGTGGTTGGTGGCAATTGAACTCAGAACCTCTGAAAGAGCAACCAGTGCTCTTAACCTCTGAGCCATCTTTCCAGCCCTCTGTTAGCTATTCTTTTCTGTTTTGTTTTGTTTTTTCAGGACAGGGTTTCTCTGTGGCTTTGGAGACTGTCCTGGAACTAGCTCTTGTAGATCACACTGGTCTCGAACTGACAGAGATCCGCCTACCTCTGCCTCCTGAGTGCTGGGATTAAGGCGTGCGCCACCAACATCCGCCCCTGTTAGCTATTCTTATACTTATGTTATACTTACTTCTATTAGTTGGATTAGTCATACAAGCAATGCACTCAACTTTGACCTCTATTCAGCCACAATTTTCTCTTTAAAAAATAAAAAAGGGAGAAATGTGGGAGACACAGAGATTCTTGTAATCACAAATAAGCACTTAGGGAATGACAAGATTGTCCCTTCAAAGAGAGGGATGTGTAACTTGTTATCTACCCTGGAGGCTGGCAGCAGAAGCAGTTAAGAGCCCAGTAATCTTTGTGCCTTTTATGTGGATGAAACTAAACCAGATACTCCCTGAGACCCTTATAATGAGCTTGTCAATGTACAGAATCTATTTTTAAGAAAGGTGTCACATGTAGTTAATGTATAGAACCCATCTTTATGGACGATGCCACATGTACTTCACAAAGCATTTCGATGTAGTCATGTCTGAAGTTTTATTGTACACATTTATCACCAGGAAATTTTTCAGCAAATTGCTTAAATATGACTAAAATAAATTACTTGGGGTCAGACTCTCAAAGTTTGAGCCAACACTGGCTACTGAGTTGTGTTGAACTAAACTATGTTCTTCCCTCCTGGGGATCATTATCCTACTGCCAGTGTTTGTGAGACACCAAGAGCTACCATAAGGTTTGCCATCACTGAAAACAAAACATTAAAAAAATGAAGGTTTATTCATCTATAGTTTATTTTGTACCATTTGAGTGTTCTACTGACAATACTTTTTTTTTTTTTTTTAAGTTTTTTGAGGCAAGGCTTCTCTGTGTAGCCCTAGCTGTCCTTGAACTCACAGACACCTACCTGTCTCCACGTCCCAAGTGCTTGGATTAAAGGCATGTGCCACCACTGCTCAGCAATACTTTTCAATACTAGATTATAAATAAGTATGAACAAGAAGTTGCAACTTACAAACAAATGAATATAATAAAGCACATACAATGCCTTTCATGACTACTTCTCTTGAAGGTTACCTTATGATCTGTGAAGGTGTCCTACTTAGATTCTTATGCTCACTGGAGGATTTTTGAGATTGGGACCCTGAAGAATGACTAGAGAATGCATGCTGTCTTACACCTGAAGAAGGATGCTGTAGTCGAGGAGGTAGTGCTGATGGGGCTTTTATTGGCTTGCTTAGATTCTTTGGCCCTCTGTAATCCGTATCTGTGGAAAACAAAAAGATCTCACAATTTCCCTGGCATAAACAACTCACCATAATAATCCTAAAGAACTCCAATGTAAATTTACCTGAATGGAAATTTTGTCCAGAATTGGGTTTTTTCATCTTCTTTCCTGACACTGTGTTCCAGCTTTCTGGGGGAGGTGTCTTGAGGTTCTTCGGTATATGTCTTCAAAATAAATGAAAGTCTTTGTCAGTAACATCACATAATCTCAATAAGATCTAACACAATCAGTCAAATGGGCTGGAGGGACCGCTCAGTAGTTAAGAGCATTGGCTACGCTTCTAGAGGACCTGGTCCAATTCTCAACACCCACACAGTGGTTCACAACCATCCTAACTCCAGTACCAAAGGATCCAATACCCTCTCCTGGCCTCCTCAGGCAACACGTGTGTATGCACGGCACCTAACATGAGGGAAAACACTCGTCCACATGAAATAAGTACATCTGTAAAAATCATTTTAAAGGAACAATAATACACAAATCCTGCATAGATATTAGAGATTTTATAAGTGCAATATTTGCTGACTTTAGCCAGGCATATTAGTGAAAGACTTAAAAATTAGCAAAGAAATATAGCCCAGAAACTGACCAAGGCTACTACTATGACTTAGTGCCTGGAATTTACCAGCCACCAGCAATTACTCCCTTACAAGGCCATAAGATAACTGGGTACCAAGAATTCCCAGATGGCCAACCTCCCCGAGGGGCTCATGAAGGAAACAGATTGCCCCACTGGCCAATGTGTCAATCATTAACAATTAGGGTCCCTGTGAAACAAAGAGATAGCTACCATTTGCTCAAGCAAGATAAGCATATCCTGAGGTCTCCACGTTTTTACAACTGGTGGGTCAGGAGGCCATCTGATTCCCAGCCCTCTCCTCAAGACAAAGGGCCTCCTAGGAACCCATGACTCTAGTCACACCCCTCCCTAAGCTTGTGGTTTTTGCCTTTAAAAAACGCCTGTGCTTGGGGGACAGGTTGCTCTCTAGCCTGCATGCTGAGAGAGCCCGTTTGTACAAACATCTACCTTTCATTAAAGCCTCTTGCTGTTTGCATCAAGTTTCGGCCTCCTCATGATGATTGGGGTGGCTGCAGTCCTGGGAAAAAGATTCTGGAGGCCTGAGCTTCCGGGGGTCTTACATTAGCACATGTCTTTACTCAGAAGCCGGCCTGGTCCACTCAGTGAGTTTTAAAACAGCCAAGTTTATATAAGACCCATGCAAAAACTAAGTATTTAATTTATTTAGAGAGAGGGTAAACTGAGCCAAGTAAGATGTTGCACACACTTAGTCTAAGCCCTCCTGGAGGCAGATGCAGGTCTGTATTTTTGAGGCCAACCTGATCTCAACTTTCAAGTCAGCCAGTGCAACAAAATGAGATGTTACCCCAAATTAAAAAAAAAAAAAATCTAAAAATTGATTAAAATTGCTAAGTAAGGGCTGAGTGCGGTGGCACACGCCTTTAATCCCAACACTCTGGGAGACAGAAGCAGACAGATCCCCAAGTGTGAAATAAGCCTGGTCTACAGATCAAGCTCCAGAACAGCCAGGGTTACCCAGAGAAACCCTGACTCAAAATAAAGCCAAAAGAAATAAAATAAAATATAGGGAAGTAGTGATGGTCATATTGGAGTTCACTGCAATATCTATATACTTTACAGTCATTATATATTTAAGTTTGTTTTTTCAGTAAAGGTTAAGGTATAATTTATTACCTTTTCCTCTAGTAAAGGCAGTGGTAACTCCAACAATAGTATCTTTCTATTCTATCTGACAATTCTGACATTCTAGAAATAAGATCTCACTATGCAGCCCTAGTTTACCTGAACAGACTACTCTGTAGAGCAGGTTGGCTCAAGAAATCTGCCTAACTCTACTTCGTGAGCGATGGTTTTAAATGGGTAAACTTCCACACCCAGCCACTGACAAATTACTGACTACATGGAACCTAGCACTAAGAAAATAGAAAGGAATACGGTGCCTGTTTCTCAAAGTCCCTACTTTCATAAACTCACCAATTTCCAATTGCTTTTGATGAATATTTTAAACTGTAACCATTAAAATTAACTATAATTTATTTTATAAAATATACCAGCAAGCATAATAATCGAATGAAACTCAAACTGCTTTTCTTTTCCTAGGGATGTGTGCTTTTGTACGCACGTGTGTGTGTGTGTGTGTGTGTGTGTGTGTGTGTGTGTGTGTGTGTGTGTGTGTGTGTGTTACATGTGCTGCGTCTGTCCAGGTTGTTACCAGGTTTCTCAAGACACAGCCTCATTGAACCTGAAGCTCACTTCATGTGACTAGTTGAGCACCTGGTATCCAATGTCCAACAATGGTGTTAGAGGCATACACAGCCATGCCTATCTTTTATGTAGACCTTAGAGACTCAAATTCAGTTCCTGGTTTTGTTGTTTATTCTGTCTTGTTTGGTAAGTTGTTTTGTTTGATTTCTGTTTGCTTGCTTGGTTGTTTTTTTATGAGATGGGGTCTGTATACCCCTGGCTGCCTTGAACAAGATATCTGCCACACCGAGCTTCAAAATCAGTTCCTTTGCAAGCAAGCCAGTATTCACTTTTTTAAGAGGCTAAATTGAAGAGGCAGCAAACACCTTGACTGAAAAAATACGTACTTTTTCCCCAGTTCTTCAGATAAAACCGGTCCATTCTCAGAGTGAACCCCGTGAATGTCTGCATTAGAAAATTTTCCATTGTGATCCAATCTAACCTGTTGAACACCAGAAAGAAAAATCAGATACCTGATATACACACACACACACACACACACACACACACACACCAATCATTATCTCATTTTTAAATGTGTATTTTCTTTAACTAAAGAAAATATAGCCGGGCGTTGGTGGCGCACGCCTTAAACCCAGCACTCAGGAGGCAGAGGCAGGCGGATCTCTGTGAGTTCGAGTCCAGCCTGGTCTACATGAGCTAGTTCCAGGACAGCCTCCAAAGCCACAGAGAAACCCTGTCTCGAAAAAAGAAAAAAAAAAAAGAAAATATAAACATTTATCCAGAAAAACAAAATACTATATAAGGGGTACAATAGAATCTAAGATGCCATACCTCTCTACCTAAGACTATTCATGCTGTCAAAAGTTTTTGTTTTTGTTTTTGTTTGGGGGGGGGTTATTTTTTGAGACAGGGTTTCTCTGTAGCTTTGGAGGCTGTCCTGGCACTCTCTCTGTAGACCAGGCTGGTCTCGAACTCACAGAGATCTACCTGGCTCTGCCTCCCAAGTGCTGGGATAAAAGGCATGTGCTACCAACACCCGGCTGAAAAATCTTTTGAACTGTTCTCAAACTTCAAGAAATGGCAGCACAATCTATCAAATACCAAACAATACTCAGCAACTGTCAACCCATTCTGCTTTGAATCTCCAGGCCTGGCCTTTCCATCGACTAGCAACAATTTTGGTCAATCTATTTACCTTGTTTGTTGATATGCAATTAGAGCTAGTAACAGTAATCAATACAACAGAGACACCTGGAGATGCAATGGAGCTATATGTCATACATGGAACAGCAGTCTACACAGCAGCCATTCCACAAATGAGAGAACTATTATTACTATCATTTTTCCATTCTTATGATACTAAAAACATGGAAAAACAGTGACTTTTTTGCTCATTTTAGAGCTGATTCAAGTGTTCCTTCTCGTCCGCACTGACAGAAGTAGCTAACAGTGAAAATTGATGTGCATAAGGATGGCCAAGGTATACACAGCTCTACCCTACAGACTCATACTTTTGTAAGTGTTCTAAGAGTCCTGAGTTGACATCTCATTCTTCATTAATCACAACAGGACACTACTTTTTGCAATAAAAAAGAGTTTTGAAGGTTAATTTTAAATTTCTTAAATTGTTATGTATAGGTTTCTGCCACCTATGGGGTGCTAGCAGATGCCAGAAGAGGGCACAAGGTTCCCTGAGTTGGAACACGCAACTGTAAACCTCCTGATGTGGGTACTAGGAACCAAACTCAGGACCTCAGAAGAGGAGCAAGGGCTCTTACCTGATGAGCCATCTTGCCAGTCTTTTTATTGTGTTTTCTTTTTGAGACAGGATCTCACTATGTAGCCCTAGACAGTATGTAGAGTAGGCTAGCCTTGAACTCACAGAAACCCACTTGCCCCTACTTCCCAAGTGCTGAGATTAAAGGTATATGCCACCACATTCATATTCACCAGCTTTTTAAAAGGTTATTTCTATCAAAAGTTTAAAGTATATCCTACATACTTGAGTAAACAAGTCATCTATGTATCACTTCAGTTGTTTAAGATTTCAATTAAACTGTACTCAAATAAAATGGACAATGAACCAGCACTCAGGAGGCAGAGGCAGGAGGATCTCCGTGAACTCCAGGACAGCATTGTCTACAGAGTTCTGCATCAGCCAGGACTATACAGTGAGACACTACCTCAAAAACAAAACTAAACTAAACACCACCACCAAAAACAGCAACATGGTTTTGCAAACATACAAATTTCAGCATTAAGATGATTCTACTTGTATTTAGGATAAATGATCTATGAAATCCAAATTATAAACAGTCAAATTTTAGTTCATGGTTCCTTTAGAAAATAAGATTCTGGCAAAGTCACTCTCTTTTAGGAGAAATCACTTACATGGCATTTATCTCCAACTTCATATTGTAATCCAGCAGCAATGGAGTAATCACGTTTTTGTTGAGCTGTTAGTTAAAAAAAAAAGAAAATTCAATAAAACACCAACTTTACCTCATTATTTTCAAGTCCTACAAGCCAATGGTACAGAAGCTTCAGAGTTAACTCACCTTGTTTGGACTTCAACCAAATTTCATACTCCACATTTCTATAAACTGCTGGATTGAGTGACTTAAGAACCTTTCTGGACAAAGGGAGGTCAGCCACGTTCCCACCATTCTCTGGGTTCTAAATAAACAATGTCAGAAGTCCAATCAACAAGAAATGCTTTTAAAACATTGCTTCAAATATGCAAAAAAGCAAAACAACAAAAAAACCTTAAGAATAAAAAGCAGGAGGCAGCAAATAAGTTTGTTAATAACAAAGTGACCCCAACTATGGAAAGTGACCATAAAATTATAAGCTCTTTACATATATATGAAAGGTTAAAAATACCTCACTGCCTGAAGGCTTAAGTCCATTCACATCAGTAGCAGCAGTACTCTTACTCCTACAAAGAACAAAAAAACATACTTAGGAAATGGAAAGTGTTTGTATGTAATCAACCTTTGTTTTGTTTCGAGACAAGGTTTCTCCATCTAACAGCTCAGGATGCCCTCGAACACATTTTGTATACCACATTTTGTATACTGAGTAGAACACGCTAGCCTAGAATTCAGAGATCCACCTGCCTCTGCCTCCTGCATACTGGGATTAAAAGTGTACACTTTTAATGTAATCAATATTTAACCTCAACTAAAACATTCAAGTTAGCTACATACCAAAATGTGAGGCTCTTAAATTTTAGTATATGTAAATAGATCACACACATATATAAAAAAGGTGTTTTATTACTAGTAATTCTTACTGACTTAGTAAAAAAATCAAAAATGGGGTTGGTGGGATGCATTGTTTAAGTGGTGGAATAACAATCTACAAAAGACTGAACATAAAATTTTCATTATTAAAAAGAAAGAACTGTTATAACATTTAGAATAAAAAACAACTGAAACAAACGTCTAAAGTCATAACCAACCTTTTTCTAAAAAAATACTTCCTAATCCTCAGTACAACCCAGGAACCATAATCAGCTATTTGTCATTCATTTATTCTACAAGTATGAGAGCCTATGTGCTGCTTAGTATATATTATTAGACTGCTGAATCTAAGCAGTGAATGAGAAACAAAAACAGTGCCTATACAATCCAGTAAAACCTAACCAGTACATAAGAGCTACCAAGTACTATGGCAAACAAACGGTGGCAAGCACAGCAATATAAGATAAACCACAAATTGGGAGAGGGAAGGAGGCCTCGTTGAAACAGATGCCTTTGAATAAAGACAGGTAACAAGACAGTGCATCCTATCATATCTAGTATTCCAGGCAGAGGAACAGCACACACAAAGATCCCAAAGAGGAGAAAAGGTTCTATGTAGTCCTTATAGTATCTACCTTTCTGTCCTATTCCTCAAGAAATCAGCCTCTAGGATTCAAAATAACCTCCAAATATTCACTAAAGAGAGCCAAGAGCCTGGAGTCTAGACCAGAAATCACTCATCATTTCAAGTACACTTCAAGACCCATCAATATGAATGCGGAAACAACCCAAGAGCATATTACACATCTTAACTCCTAATTACCTCACTAAACTGATCTATCCTTGACAAGGTTATACAGTGGTTGTCCTCTCTCAAAACCGACGTGACAAAAAAGGTTTTTCTTTTCCCCCTTCTAGTACAGAGACTCACACTCAGAGCCTCTCACATACTAAGCACTCCAGCTGCGTGCGTGGTGCGTGCATGTGTGTGTCTAAAGCAATTTTAATTATGTGCATATATTATATATGCATATAATGTAATATACATACATATATACAGCTAAAGCAATTTTAATAAAAAGGCAAGCTACATTTCAGTGGCAGTATGAAATGGAAACCAAGCATAATAAAACCACACAAATCTTACCACATACCTGCTCCCCCTCCCAGGTAAACTCTCCAGCTTACCAGGCCCTGTGTCCAGAGTCACATCATTGATTGGCTTCTGTAGCACTACAATATCTACAGCATTCAAGAGACAAGTTTAAAGTCTCTCCCACTCTAAGTATAGGAAGAAAGTTAAAGCAATCCAGTCATCCCCTCAATTTCTCTGCTTCCTAACACATCTGGATCAGGTTATATGTCTGGAGAGAAGAAGGGCAATTTCTATTTGTGCACAATTAATCAGCATATGTGAGGACAAAACTGACAACAGTAAACACTGTTCAAGTGTAAGTAATGGTCAAATCTTCATTGCAACTAAGAAAATTTTAATTTGAGACATTCCTAGAAGCCAAGCATGATGATACACACACCTGTAACTGGAGCCCTTGGGAGGTGAAGACAAGACATTCAGGGCTTAAGTGAGCTCCAGGAATACCCAGGCCCTGCCTCAGAAACAAGACAAGGGCCAGAGAGATGGTCCTATTGGACTTCAGATCCCATACAGCTCATGCAGAGGACCCAAGTTCAGTTCCCAGAACCTAGTCAGGAGGCTCACAAAGATCCAAAATTCTAACAACAAGGAATCTGACACCTTGGCCTCTGCAAATATCTCCACTCATTCACCACATACTCACACATAGATACATAATTCAAGTATTTTTTAAAAAGCAAACAAACTTAAAAACAAACACAGGTCCACTAGCGGATGTAGCTCAGAAGTATAGTGTTTTGCCTAGATGTATAATACTCTGAATTCACTCCCTAGCACAGAAAAGGGAAAAGGTCTGCAGTCCAAATCAACAGACACACATACATTTTAAGGCATATTTGAAAGAACTAGACATTCTGTCAGACAGCAGTGGCACACACCTTTAATCCCAGCACTCGGGAGGCAGAGGCAGGCCTAGTCTACAAAGTGAGTTCCAAGACACTCAGAGCTAAACAGTGAAACCCTGTCTCAGGGAAAAAACAAACAAATTTTGTTAAGCTCACGGTATACCCCGAGTGTCACATGTATGGATGGCCATGTTCTCATATGAAAATACACTTTCAGCCTCTACAGTAATTAACAGAAGACTCCCATAAAAGATAAACTTAGTATTAATAATAATGAAACTTTATGTATCTTCCATGTTCTCATGTAACTCTCAATAACTGTCCTCTTCTGGGATACACTGAATACCCTTATTTTATGCTACTGAGGCTCCTTTAGAGAATTTAAGTATGTTCCTAATCTATCTAGTTAACAATAAAACATGCCAATGTCTGAAACTGTGCCTGGATGTCCATGGCTAAAAATCTTAACCTATCTAGGTTGCCTCAGTGACTCTGTAGGTGTTTACCTGTAACCTTGAGGGATTATCTCACGTAACACCATTCTAAAAAGAGGTGGCAGAAGCAAAGGAAGAAAACTAGAAAAAGGCCATAAAGATCAAAATAAACATTTTTCCATCACTAGATACAATTTTACAACATACACGCACAGGTATATCAAATCTATCCCACATATGTGTATTAAATACATACATACAAATTCTCATTAACCAAAACAAATTCAAAGACGCCCATCATAGAATCTAGGTCAAATTCACGGCAGCAATAAGAAACTTTACTGAAGATCAACGTTTTATGAATACATGTTAACACGTGAAAATGTTTCTGAGGTGACACCAGAAAGATACTTTAAGATTGAAATATATTCTTACTTGCAGCTGTCATCCTCAGAATCTGATATTTCACTGTTGCTTTCATCAGCCATTTCAGACGTTTCTAGTCCCATCATGATTTTACTAACATCAGTTTTAAATACCTTCTCATACAGCAATTCATAAAGGAGAGCTGCAATCAAAGAGGCACAGTATGCAACATTATATACAAAAGGCGACCGTACCATTCAGACCTCTAAAATTCTTAATAGGTATATAGAAACCTTCACAGCCAATAGCACCATTTAATCTGAAAGATACCTAGAAAGCAACAGGGATTTGTCTGTGCACATTAAGTTTGAAATCATGCTTTAGAATACATTTTTAAAACATAATTTAAAAGTATCAGATCTATGATGCAAACATGACAGGAAAAATGAAAATACACAGTGCACAATTATTTCATCCCACAAACATTATACTTAAGCTTGTTGTGTCCTCATATTTAATCCGAGCATATAAACTACTATTTCATTCAACAGGCTTAGTTAGGGATGTCACAAATTTTGAAAAGAAAAAAAATAAGCAAAAGTTTGTAGAAATGTAGCAATATTAGAATATGCTAGCTAACGAGTCAGAAGACTTGGTTTTCACATCTTAGTTTTCCCACTAACTGTAACATTAGATCAAGTAGTCATCAGATTCCTATAAAACACAAGGAAGGATATTTGTTCACCATAATCTGACTTCATATTTTAACTTTACACAATGAACTGAAAGAGACTTAGGGACTTGGAAGATAGCTCAGTTGGTAAATGTTTGGCATGTGAGCATTAAGAGCATGGTTTGGATCCCAGCACTCATATAAAAAAGCCAGGTGTGGCACCATGTGCTTATTATCCTACCACCAAAGAAGTGGGAGACAAGAACTGCTCTACTGGTTGCTGGCCAGCCAGTCTAGCCAAAAAGGTGGCCTATGGCCAGATTCAATGAGAGATCCTGTCTCAAAATGTAAGCTGGAGAGCCATCAAGGACATCCAATGCTGACCTCAAGCCGTATCACTCACTCACTACCCACCTCCCACGTTTTATACACATGCACACATAATACAAAAAAGGAGAGGGGAAGAATGAAGGTTGACCTCTAGCTTGCATGTGTGCATGAGCACACGCACGCACGCGCACACGCACGCACGCACGCACGCACGCACATACATACATACATATTACACACACACACACACACACACACACACACACACACGGTACATTCACACAAAAATATATTCTCAGTCATCCTTGAAGGAAAGAATATTTAGATTAATGTGGTCAACTTAAGAAAGTTTAAAAACGGGGAAATAATAATTTACCAAAAAAAAATTTTAACAAAAAATTCAAAAACACATGAACTGTAAAACTCATTTATCACAATGCACTTCCTGAAACTAAGTGCATTAAGTTCATGCTCACCATCTATGGATTACCATAGTACTTCTCACAGATCATCTATCTCCCAGATTCTGAGTAAGAGGCAATAAAGTCTCAGAATCACCCACAGTCAGAATAGGGAAGGCAGCCTACAAAGGCTTCTTTCCCAACATTGAAATGTCCTGACTTTGACGAGCTAGGAAATGGAGAGACACAGTCCAAAAGATAGCTAAATAGTCCCACCTCAAAAATGTAACATGTTATTTCAAAATGTTTACACTCATACTTTTACTGGTCACTTAAGACTAGAAAAAGTAAGGTGTGGTAGTGCATGCCTAGTTCCAGTAAGTAATTGGGAAGCAGAGGTAGATGATTAGTCAAAGCTACACATTGAGACCCTGCCTCAAAGAACAAAAAGGAAAAATAAGAAAGCAATTACATACAACACTACTGCTCCTATGAGGAAAAGGTACTTAAAGAAGGAGGGGCATTTCTGTCCTCCTACAACCATATTCTCACGTGTGTGGAAAGCCGGCAACTATTTGGGAAAATCTGTAGGAACAGGGTGTCAATGAGGTACCAAACGTTACTGACATTGACTGGGAAGAGGTTAGAGTGCTGGCAATCGTCCTACAAAGCACATGGCCAGAAGAGTCTGGTCCAAAGTCTCTACACTGTCAAGGGTAGGGGACGCCCCCTTTAGACAAAATACAATCAAAGGCCGTGTCTGTTCAGTCACCTGGATTTTCAATCTACACACTAACAACTTGAAAAGTCAACTAAGGCTGTAAAGCTTAGGCTGTAACTCCTAAATGAACACAAGAAGATACTTACACTGACACACAGCAGAACTATCTTTATACGTTATAGGATAGACAATATCATAATGGTTTCCATTCGAAAAACACAGTAACACCTGAAGAGAAAGCAAGTGACATTTCGGTCAGTCACACATTTGACATTCACAAAGTAAGCTGTGTCTCCAAACCCTCTGAAGCAAGCATTTTCAAAGCCGTATTTCAAAACCAACACAACACCAATTTGTCTGTCACACTACATACAGTACACCACATTATGGTGAAAAGCCAGGCAGCACTTACATCACTAAGTTCTCTCTGGTGTTTTGTTTGTTGTTTTTGAGACAGAGTCTCATGTATCCCAGGCTAGCCTCAAACACAATGTATAGTGGAAACTGGCCTTGAAACTCCTGATCCTCCTGTTCCCATCTCTACAGTGCTGTGGTTACAGGTAAGCACCACCATGCCCATTTGGAAAATGTTCACAGAACCACAAAACAGACACAGTAAGTAGTCTCAAGTGGTTTGCACACATCTGTAATCCCAGCATTGAGGGAGGCTGAGGCAGGAGAATCACAAGCCAGAAGACTGTCTACATAGAGAATGTCTCAAAAATAAATAACAATGAACACCAGACATCACATATGATTTCGGCTATGTAAAGAACAAGAAAGTTGAACTGCTGGGAGGCTTTAGTGGTTAAGAGCACTTCTGTGCTTGCAAAGAACCCAAGTCTGTCTCCCAACACACATCTAGCAGCTCACAGCCACAAGCTGTAAACAGCTCCAGGGGACTCTGACATCTCTGGCCTCTGAGCATCTGGAGTCTCATGTACACACCCACACATACTCATAAACAATAGGAAAATAAGTATTTTTTATAAAAAGTTAGAAGATTGTAAGAAGTCATTCCAAGTTTGTTTAGTGAGGAACTCAAGAGGCTAAGGTAGCAGAATTAAGAATTTGGTTCAATATGTGCTTCACAGCAAAACTTTGGAAAGGGGGAGGAACAGAGGAGAAAGAGGAGACGAGAAAAGAGAAATCAGAGGGAAGAGAGAAGGGGAAAGGAAAAGAAGGGGGAAGGGATCGGGAAAGAAAATATTCCAAAAGCATAGTAATGCTGACTTCTGTGAGTGAATCAAAGTCAGTTTAAGTATTTTCTAAGTAACAGATCACTACTACACACAGAAATCCGCAGTACTGTTTGAAACATGCTACAGCCCAAAAATACTGCACATGGAAAGCTCAGATCAAGTCCCACCAAGACTCACCCATCCCTTCCCCATCTCTCAAACCCCTCCTGTCTTTAAACCATAGCATTTCATCACTCCCCTTCCCCCTTACACTCAAGTGACACAGTGTCCTTCACCTTGGCCTGCATGACTCCACTAAAATAACTTACAGTGAATCGACTTGTTTTTCTTTCTAGACTTCACGAAACTTTCCCAATGTTTCTACTTTATGACCACACGCTGTGGTGATACTACTAAAATTATCTTTCCAAAGGCAAACAATCACCACAGTGTCTGGACACAAAGCAGAGCCATCTTTCACAAGTTATTTGACTACTTAATATCATGATCAAACTAATCTTGGTTACATAGACATACTTTTCTTAAAAATATGGCCCAATGACTAACTTTAAAAAACAATACCATAACTTTCATATAGCAATATTTTTCAAGAGTCATTTAAAATTATAGCTTAGGAGGTCAAGGTAGTAATTAAGCACCTCTTTTACTTAAATATTTTTAAATATTTCAAAAAATTCTTACCTTTTCAGGAAAATTATTTTCAGTTACTTGTGAAGGAGAAACATTTGGCTCCTGATATATTACAAAATCTTTCCTGAAAATAAAAACTCAGATATTACTTTTCAAAACAATGTATTTTATTGATTTAAATTATCTGGTATCAGGCAATATTCTAGGCCCTGAAGATAGAGCAGAACAAAATGAAACAAAAAATTCAAATTAATTCATACATAAGATAAACAACATAAGTAACCTTAGAAATTAATTCTAAAAGGAAACTGTGTAGTAAATCATATTGTTTATGATTTACTAAAGCCACTGGAGATCAAAAGAGCAAAGCGGCCACACTAGTTAGCTACAGAAGCTGGGTGGTGGTGGTGGAACACACCTTTAATCCCAGGACTCAGGATTAAAAGGTAGAGAGACCTCTGCTAGTTCAAGAGCACACTGACTACAAGAAACTGATCCAGCCCTAAAAGAAACAGCTCACACAAAGGGATCTCAGCAACTGGGATCACACGCCTTTAATCCCAGCACTAGGGGGGGAGACAGGAGTGATATGACTGGGCAGAGAAAGGAATGTGAGGAGGAGGAGACAGGCTCTGAGAGCCTTTTGCCTCTGAGGATTCATGGAGACAGGACTGGCATTTAAGCTGGGTAGAGAAGATCTACTGGCTTGGCTGCTTTGTTTCTCTGATTTTCAGCTTAAAGCTTGAACCTCAGTATCCGTCTCTGGCTCTTTTATTTTTCATGCTACAAAACCTGGCCCCCCAGATACTTGAGCTCTGTTCCTAGAGACATTCAATGCTACTGGCCCTGAGAGTAAGTCCTTTCTCTATAAAACTGGTAAGCAGTAGTTTTTAGGACATAATGGAAGATTTTTTTTCTGTACCTTTTTTCAAAATTTCCTCAAGATTTAAAGCATTTAAACATTGGTATCTAGCCATTAAACTCCAACTAATACAATTAAACGAACAGACAAAAAGTCTTAGGTAAAATATTTCACAATTGAGGTATAAGACAGCTTTTAGTTTGTAAAAATTTTAGTTGAATGTAATTAAAAATTTTCCAATTATTTTATTTTTAATTGTTTTATTTAAGAGTTATGCAGTTTACCTGTACATAAGAGAAAGGGCACTTATTTCCACTTGTCCTACCCATTCCTGTAGTGAGAGAAGAAAAGTTAGCATGTAAATTATCTTACTTTTTACAATATACATTATACACATTCTCTATGAATACCCCCCCCCCCCAGGGCTTCTCTGTGTAGCCTTGGCTGGCCTCCAACTCAAGAGATTCCCCCTGCCCCTGCCTCTGGAGCACTGGGATTCAAGGTGAATGCCATCACCTCCTGGCTTCAGGAAGGAACCATGTTTCAATAGCTCTTCCAAATGCAAAGCAAAACAACTGCCACATACTAAAACAGATTTCTTGAAACATGGGTTAGACTAATTAATAATAAAGACTTCTCAAGGGGCTGGAGAGATGGCTCAGAGGTTGAGAGCACTGACTGCTCTTCCAGAGGTCCTGAGTTCAACTCCCAGCAACCACATGGTGGCTCACAACCATCCATTAAGATATCTGGTGCCCTCTTCTAGTGTGCAGATATGGAAGCAGAATGTTGTATACATAATAAATAAATTATTTAAAATAAAATCTTTCTCTTAAAAAACAAAACAAAACAACAACAACAAAAAGACTTCTCAAATATTCCCAACAAGATACCCTTTTGTAGCAGACTGTTTTAACTCACAAACACTTCACTCCTCACTTATATAATGTGGGCCACATCACTTGTGAAATGTAAACTCTGGGCTGGAGAGATGGCTCAGACACTAAGAGCACTTATTGCTCTTGCAGAAGACCCAGATTGAAATTTCCAGCATTCACACAATGGCCTACAATGTTAATATTGAGCATCTTATAATGTCCACAGACACAAGGCATGTACAATGTGCAATTAAAACATCAGAAACAAAACAAATCTTTCTTTAAAGTAAAGTAGCTGGACAAGGTGGCAATGTCGGTGGTACACACCTTTAATACCAGCACCAGAGGCAGGGGAAGGTGAATCTTTGGCCAGTCTATCTATAAAGTGAGTTCCAGGACAGCCAGGGCTGTTACACAGAAAAACTGTCTCAAATAATAATAATAAAAAAAAAAAAGCTAAAATCTCTCTGATGAGCATAATGTATCTTCTTATTGGTGACCTTCCAAATAAATTCTATTATAATCTGAACAAGTAAGTATCATCTTCCTTAACCAAATTATCAGCCATCAAATGTAACCTTCTATTTCTTAAAAGAAAATGAACAGTGGTAATTCGAATCATTAGCCCCAGCACTTGGGAGGCAGAGGCAGGTGGATCTCTAAGTTCAAGGCCAACCTGGTCTACAGTGAGTTCCAGGACAGCCAGGACTGTTACACACACAGAGAAACCCTGTCTCAAAAACAAACAAACAAACCAAATAGGAGGGGAGGGGAGAAAGGAGAAGAGGAGGAAAACAAAAAAAAAAAAAAAAAAGGAATAAAGTCTTTCAAAAATACACTATCACTGCAGGACTTATTGTAAAGGAAGAACTTTTAAAACTAGACACCGACAAGTATTCTTTTTAAAAACAAACAAAAGTAGATTGATAATTTTGAGGAACAAGGTAGAAGGATTAAGCACAAAAAAAAGTATGAGGGAATTTCTTTTCTGTTTATATTGTTTTTGTTTGTTTTGTTTTTCTAGATAAGGTGTCTGTGTAGCCCTGGCTATCCTGGAGCTTACTCTGTAGACCAGGCTGGCCTGAACTTTGAGATCTTCCTGCCTCTGCCTCCCAAGTGCAGGGATTAAGGCACGTGTCACCATCGCCTAGCAGGGGAATTTCTTAAGAGTTACTGATTGAAATTGCCAATATTTGTGCTGGTGATTTGTGAAAAAATAAGTTGTGGAAAATGTTAAATCCCTGTGGCATATTACATGTACAAGAGAACATCAATTTGGCTTCAACAAAGTTCACATTACAAAAATTTGAAGCATTTTTTCAGTGTCTCCCAGTACTATAAAGGACAGATGGCTCAGCAGTTAAGAGCACTGGCTGCTCTCCCAGAGGACCTGGGTTCAATTCCCAGCACCCACATGGCAACTCACAACTGTCCACAGGATCTGACAGCTTCATACCAATGCATATAAACTAAAGTTAAAAAAGAAAGCCAATAAAGGCATTTTTATAAAATAAAAGTATAGAAATGATGCCCCTGAGGATTGGAAGAAGCAATGGAATTTATCAATCGTTAGTTTTCCTTATACAAACTCTGTATAAGGAAATAGGATGGTCGATATATGTTGCGAGTAATGAAAAAAATTGTTACAGAGGTACCTAAGGAATTGAGGTAGCAGCAACAGGTGGTGCTTCTTCAGAAAGAAACCTAGCTAGACAACCTATCCCAGGTGCTCAAAACACCTTCCCTTCAGGTATACCCACCCCCAACCAAATCAAGATCAATTAGTTTACACAGCCTCATTTCTTCTGTGTCCTCTCCACATTCTAATCAGAACTCTACAACCATAGCCTGAAGTTTATCAAATACTGCAGTTTTCTAATTAAACTAATAAATGCCCTTCATAATTCTTTGTAGTTTCTTTACAGCCAGCAAAACTCACCTATAGTATCTGTCATTTAAAGACTACTATTAACAAGTTGTTTCTCCTCTGTTTATGTATCAATTTTACAGTCAATAAATATATACTGGTCATCAACTGGGCACCTAAATTAGAAGGTTAACTATGAAAGTATCAAAGCAATAAAAGTTATTTCTCAATCTTTGTCTTCAAAGAGACTTCTAATTGGGGGGACAGGGGGTCCATGTTCAGGAAAATGAGTCTGCTCATATATCTGAAGGAAACTGTTTTGGAAACAGTGAAAAGGCCTACGGAAGTATTTGTCTCTAAGACTGAAGTGATATTGCAGTTATTCTTTTTAGTCATAGCCATCCATTTTTCTGTATATAAAACAAAACAATTTTTTTTTGTTTTTGTTTTTGTTTTGGAAGGGGTCTCACTATGTCACCCTGGCCATCCTGGAACTCTGTGGGGCTGGAGGAGCAGCCCAGTGATAAAAGCACTTGAAGATCAGGGTTCAGGGGGCTGGAGAGATGACTCAGAGGTTATGAGCACTGGCTGCTCTTCCAGATGTCCTGAGTTCAATTCCCAGCAACCACATGGTGGCTCACAACCATCTATAATGAGATCTAGTGCCCTCTTCTGGCGTCCAAGCATACATGTAGACAGAACACTGTATACATAATATATACATTTTAAAAAGAGGAAGGAAAGAAGGAAGGAAGGAAGGAAGGAAGGAAGGAAGGAA